ATGACACATGAGTGCAGTCGATAGTCCCAATAATGTCTTCAACAGATGGTGACGATGATGAAAATTTTTCTTTGTTAAATAGGAAATCCAGACGGGACGTTGATAGCTTCCATTAGCGAAGGATCACAAGGCGGTTACAACCTTGAAGCATTTCAATAATGTACAAACTAAAAAAATACTTCAATATCACGAATCTCATCCAATGTTAAATACTCAAAAGCTACTTTTTTATAATTTTTATTTGATTTTCATATTTATATCCGATCAACTTTAATTTAACCTAATAAAATATCAATATTTTGTCGATGGCGCTAACAACTTCAAAATATTCGTCGCTTAGTTGCGACAACAGCTGATCAATCGATATCGAATACCGTTAAAGTAAGTGCAGGGAATATGTAAATCGTTAAAAATAACGCTAAGTTACTTTAACAGTACGATAGTCGTTATAATACATGCAATCGATAGGTTTGGAAGACGTTTTTCCGTTTCCAAGATCGCTGTTAGTGGTACAGGCTCCCCAGTGGCCTACTGCTGTCAGAATGGTTCAGTACAACAATTGGTATTTCTTTTTGGCTAATGTACAACAACAAGGATAGAGGATCGAAAAAGGAGCCACGATCAACGGAGTACAGATCAATGCGAGGTTTCATTAAAAAGTTGCAACAAAGGCATTTACCGTTATGAAACTTGTATCTTAAATCTACATATATATATGTACTTTATAAACAACCAAAATGTGCTTACATGCACGCAGAAGTAGGAAAGCTATTTCAAGTATAATACTGTTAACTTGCCTCATTTGCAACCACTTGCCTCACTTCACTAACACATATGTTTATATATATATATATATATATGTGTGTGTGTATATAAACGTGCATATGTGTGCTCTAACGAATTCTACTTAACACTTAATACAAATAGGAATCTCATATGAGGACAACAATAGCAACAAAGAATAAAAAGTTTCAACTTAACTTTTTATCAACTCGAAAGCCGTTATCTAAGCTATAGTACCGTGGTTTGGCTCGAGGCGAAGTCATGAATGATGTACAAGTATATCCCGTATAATCTCTTCTGCCGCTTCTTTTCTCGCCACATCAAGGAAAGTGTATCTGCTATCATCTTTTAATATTTTCCGCTTTATACATATGTACATACATATAAACTTATGTTGCTAGATTAAAACGAGAGGGCATAGATATATACATACAGACATATAATATTTTCGTGCTTTACTTATGAGAAACTATACCAACAGCCTCACTTGTACATATGTACATACATATAAGTACATATAATATATGTATGTGCAAGCATGTTGATGTTAATGTTTTTGCACTCTTACTTTTATGCGACTAAAACTCAATTGACTATATAGTATGTATGTATTGTAGTAGCACACTAAAAATTTATATTGTATATCAATACATAAAGATTTGTATGTATATGATAGATGCATGGAATGACTTACAAGCGATTAATCTAACGTCATTCAAATTATCTTCACAGTAAAGTAAACACTCAAGGATATACGTACATATGTATGAGAACCTTCAAATTTATATGTACATGCAATATGAGGATGTCGATGTACTCATATAGACACATATACATATGCATATGTATGTATATGGGTGTGTAATGCCTATGTAATACACCTATTAGACCTTTTAAAAATATATTGAAGAAAATTGAAGTGAAAATTTATGTGCGAGCGACAAATTGTCACATTCTTCGCTCTAAAGCCGCATTGGAGCTACAAGAAGAAACATAATCATCTGGAGTATATTGTATATGGACAGTTCCGGAAGGAAAGAAAAATACCAAAATAATGATTCGGTCGACGCGGCGCGTCCCATATTCGGGAGTCACCCAGCTGAGTCGGTAATTCGAGTGACCATGAATCGGTTGCGCACAATGTTTACTTTAGTGGATGATGTGCATCCTCAAAGACGCCGTTACAGCCTTGTAAAGCAAATGTTTGGTGTGCTCTATGAGCTGGCGCAATCATTGGTCCATATTTTATCCAAAATGAAGCCGGCCATAATGTTGTAGTGAATGGAGAGCCATTAGTAATGACATTTTTCTGTCTAGTTTGTGGCATTATCTCGCGTCGTTGGGATTCAACACCGCTGCACTATTTTTGTAGGGTTATATGAAATCGCTTGTCTACGCAAATGAGCTTGAGGCGTTTGACGCCTTGAAAGAGAATATTCGGCGCGTTGCTGCTAATGTAAGGCTGTAATTGCTGCAAAAAGTGGTCGAAAATTGGACCTGTTGGTTGAATTTTTATCAAGCCAGCTGCCGCAATCTCCTGCCCCAAATCATTTTTTAAACATAATTACAAATCTTTATCTTTATAATAAAATTGAATTCTTGATCATAACCGTAAATCATGTACATTCTGTTTCTTCTTGAAAAGCTAGTGTCTAAAAATAACACCTTTTGCATAAATATATACATACATATGTACATATGTATGCAGAGTTTCAATGTATTACTTTCCCCACAAGTTGATTGATTTGAGGTGGTTGAAAGGCACAGTTTCATAAATCTTATTTCAGTTTTGAGATAAAGTAAAATCACTGTTTCCTTACACTAGATACACTAATTTTCCAAGCCAAATGATGAACCCTTCAAATTCGGCTTCCCAATTTTTTAGAGGAGATATGTATTTATGCATAAGTATATATGTATATATGTATATACGTTTTATAAAAATAAAACTCACAAACACGAAGTAAAATGTATTCCTATATGTACATATATAAGATGGATATAAAAATTTCACCCCAATAACAGTGGATAACTGCGGAAATAAGGTCAATAGCACTGCTGTGCAACGGAAAATGATGGAAAATGTCGGCAAGCAGTGAAAAGGGAGAAAAGTTAAATTTATGGGCAAGAAATATTGCTTGACTCGATAATTTTACTGAATAAGTCACGAACGATAAAAAGTTATAATTATTATTTTTCTTAAAGATTCATATTTAAAAAAAAAAACTCAATCAAATCATTTACATATTTCAATATAAGAATTTGGGCTTTAATACAGAACGTAAGGCATTAATGCCACTGGCACTACAGATGCTGTGCTCAATACTGAGAAACAATAAATATGAAAGAATTCATTTGTTGCGAAAAAAAAATGAAAAAAGCTATGAAAATATAGAGCATTCCCACATGTCAGAAACTGGGTCCTACCAATTGGGCGAATGGATCACGACCGCTGCATTAATATCGAACAAAATGCAGGCATTGCATGCTGTTGTACATACTGACACAGCCGCAAACACAATTTCAACTCGCAAGCCTAAATCGACATATGTACACACATATATATGAATGTATACATTTATGTACATACATACACGTATATGCATATTGTTGCATTCTGTTCTGGAGCAGATGATTTTAAATTATATATCACATATGTATGTGTGTATGTTTATAAAAATGTTTTTTTTTTTGTATGTATGTTAGAATATTTTAAATACCAAAATGTCAAATGTCACCAAAAATGTAATAACAAAAATAGAAACGTCTTATAATAAATAAATTGGAGCATTTAAAGCGGTGTGTGCAATAGACGATGTCTGGCAAAGCTTGCAATTGGTACAGCTTTCGCATATTATATATGTTTGTATGATAATATGCGCTTTGTTGCCGTAAGTAAAGCGATTTTCGGTCGAGCTCTTCCTCCAATTCGTACTGTGCGTCTTATTATTTTTCCAGCAAATGGAGTGACCTACAGTTTATTCAAACCCGCCTCCGAGCGGCTAATAGATTTTCATTTCATATCATAAATACACTCGGAGGGCTTGACGTTCCAGACCGCAATTGGAAAAATTAATATATATATATACTATTAGCTGTACCCTGCAACGTCGCAGCATATCTTTTTATCATAATTTTGTTTACTCAGTACTTGTGGTAATACATTTTTAATTTTACTATTGACATTGGTCCACTTCCTAGAGAGAGGAATAATCCCATTTTTGTAAATCGAGCCATAAATAAGACTTCTTCGAATAGGTCTGGTAAACTTCCCGACAATTTCGCCAGAAATCATAGAAGTTATCTGACGAATTTTCAAATGAATTGGTCGGTAACTTTTGAAAAACACCCGTTACAAACGGACTTAAGAGTCTACTTTCGAAATAAGGTTTTTATAGATAAGATGATATTTACTAATTATTAATTAATTTAACGTAGCAATGAAAAGAGATATATACATTCTCAACTCTTAAAAAAATAAACGGGTTACCATGCAAACATATATTTTATTTATTTATTTCCTCTAATCATTTAGTAGTCTCCCAGTAACTCACTTATTAAATAATTTTATTAATCTAAAACGTGCATGGGTTCTTGCAAAATGATGATATTCGTTTATATTATCATCAATAATTTTTTTAATTGTTTATTTACATATGAGCTTTACACAAATATTTCCCATTGACGTTATTCTGTTTTCCGATCTATCATTAAATCGCTTTCCTGGGATAAATCAGAGAAATGTATTTTAAAAGAAATTTAAAATTGTATGGATACTTTGGGAGGCTTTCATTCCTAATAAGTAAGTGCGAGAGTAAATATAATTTCAATTTTAAATCTATCTATTTATGTATTTAGCCTATATACATATGAGAGATATATATGAATATGCAACTAAATTTTTCGAAATGATTATAGTGTCTTTTGTCGCTTATCAATAAGTTCAAGTTCAAGAGATAACCTGTAAACGATTGCTTGCATAGTCGAAGCCCGAGAGATATTTCAAATAGTAACAAGAAAATTTCAGGCAGGAAAAAATAATAAAATATTTACTGTATAAATATTGCGTTATATTTTTTTTTTGTCGCTCTTTCTACCTTTTAGTGTACTCGTACTTTCCAAAGCTGATTGATAGCCTATTTAGGTTAAGTTTTCTATTTATCTTGTGATACAGAATTATTGATGCTATTCAATGATATTAAAGAATATAAACTTACGTTTATCATTTAAAGTCCTTGTATGTACTTCTGGTCCAGATGTTGTTGTTATTGTAGCTCTATATGAAAAGTTATCACCGCTTGCTGCACCTCTAGCATCCACAGCCACCAAGCACAACAAACACATAAAACTTACTAGAATCATTTTCTTTGACAATGAATGTAATAGCATTTTTAATTTTTTTTTTTTTTAATATATTTTTTATGCTTTTTGTGCACATGTAGTGCCAGCACTCACTTCTTCCCTCAATTCACTTGCATTCATTTATTTAAAAACCTACATATATCTACCGGTTAACACTGAAGCACATATTATATATACTATATACATGTACATATGTACACATATTTTGACACTGAAAAATATTATTATTTGTCTGGTTTAGGGGCAATCTTACCCTGTTTCTTATAATTTGATCGTAAAAATATATGCTAATTTGATATGTAAGACACCATATTTGCTATTCCTCTGTTGAGATCTTTTATTGCACTATTCGCCGCTTGACATTATTTGGCCTGCGGGTTTAAGTTTGGAAAAAAATATAATTAAGAAAATGCTATTCACGTACGTATGTACATAATTAACATTTGTATTTATTCGACTATGTTGATATATGTAGGTATACATGTGTACATTGCGGGACTAAACAATATTTTAATTTCATTCATAAATTTATTTCATTTTATTTAGCGAGCAGATACTTATGTACGAGTATATTAATGTGCATTAGTACGGATATAAAGCGAGACTTAAACAGAAGTAACCAAATCAATTTTGATTGCCCGCGGTATTTTTAACCCCATTTACAATTAAAAATAGAAATTGTGTATCTTTTCTTCTTTCTGAGCAAATTGTTAAAAGGTTATTTAAATACGACATTATCTATTCTTCTACTAAACTAGTTTTATTTGTGTAGTATTGTTGTGACGCTTGTAGCAGTAGAATTGTTTTCTCAAACCGGTCGTCACATGTACCTACACACTAGAAATGATTCTTTGAGAAGCATCGAGTATTTGGAATAGATGTATAAACATGTATACATATGTATATGTATGAAAATATGTACTATACCTAATTTTTTTTAGAATAAAATATTTACTTTTTTCCAATCGTCTATTATTTTTTGCTTGTTACTTTTACTTGCTATTCTTCATCCTTTCCCACTTTATACACACATACACAAACAAACTGCTCTACCTTTTGCTTTGCTATATTCACTTCGTGCTTTTTTTTCTTTATACACATTGACTATATACACTATGTAATTCCTTACGGATTTGTTATAACTTTCGGTATGGATTCAAATTTTTTTAAACGGTTTAATTCATACTAAACCGAATTACATTCACAACACATCGGTTTTTAAAAAATTACATCTTCATTTTTTTCATTTTTTAAAACTTTTTTCCGAAGTCACGCATTGCACGTATTACAAACACAAGTGAAGGACTCAATCCATACACAATAACAAAATTGTGTTACATCCGCGTCAACAGTTTTTATTACATCCGCATCCGCACAATTTTAAAGAGAGACTAATCGAAATCCAAACCGATTAGCGAAAAGAGCGTATGGAGCGTCTGCTTTCGAATATGATACAAAACAGAAACAGTACTGACAGCCGTTGGCGGCGCGAATGTCATTCAAAATAAGACTTCAATAAAATTTCTCACAAATCGCCCAATGCGAATTGATGGCATTGATGAAATTATTGATATTGCTCAAAATTAAAATATGGGTTTGAAAATTATGCAGTGATATCAGAAAATAAAGTCTGCACAGATAAAATCATATGGCAAGTATAGGTATTTGATTCTGGATAATGCTTAATTTAATTCATTCTCTTTTTGATTGAACAAACAGTAATATTTGAATTTTCTATTAAAAACAAATATTTACATTTACATATTACTAACTTGTATGCCCTTAATATTTAATAAATAAGATATTTACTATAAATACATGCTAATACACTTAGTAGTTGCCATGGCATCCCTTATTGAAAAGCAAACTACCAAAGCTTGCTGATCTAGATATTTCTTCGCATGAACTTTAATTTCAATTTTTTTACTCTTTTTATACTAGGTAACTAATTCATTTTTATATAAATTAAAACACGTTTACTTAATAAATCTATACCTATTTTAGTTATTTATTAAGTTTAATTTATGCTACATCACACAAACTGCCCTATACTAATACTCAAAAGAAGGAAACGTACAAAATAAACACAGGGAGCTTGAAATACTTAATTTTCCAATAGGTTGTTAAATTTACTATCAGCTGATTATCTTGGCGGTAAAAAGATAATTTTGCAACTAAAACAAATTCAAATGGAGCCAGCAGTAATTAAAAAACTAGACGAAACGGTGGTAAACAAGATTGCAGCGGGAGAAATCATACAAAAGCCAGCAAACGCACTCAAAGAGCTAATTGAAAATAGGTAGAATATGTTACATAAATATTTTTATTTATTTATTTACATTTCCTTTCAGCTTGGACGCAAAAGCATCACACATACAAGTGACTGTGAAATCTGGAGGTTTAAAGCTACTGCAGATACAAGATAATGGCACCGGCATACGTCGTGAGGATCTGGCGATTGTTTGTGAACGATTTACAACATCAAAACTTACAAAATTTGAAGATCTAAGCAACATAGGAACTTTTGGATTTCGTGGTGAAGCTCTGGCTAGTATTAGCCATGTAGCACATTTATGTATACAAACCAAAACGGCAAATGAAACTTGCGGATTCAAGTAAGGTGGCTGTGTTAGACGATTAGACCAAATGTATTCTTAAATATTTTACAGAGCTTGTTATGAGGATGGATTATTAAAAGGTCCACCGAAACCTTGTGCTGGAAATCAAGGTACAATTATAACCGTTGAGGATCTTTTTTATAATATGCCACAGCGCCTCCAGTGTTTAAAATCACCAGCTGAGGAAATGCAAAAAATATGTGATGTTGTCTCTAAATATGCTGTGCACAATTCAGGCACTGCCTTTACACTAAAAAAGTATGGCGAGCCACCAACCTTGCGTACAGCTGACCGGAGTACTCGTGAAGACAATATCACTAATATATATGGTTTGCAAATTGGCCGAGCTTTATTGCCAGTTGAGTTAGAGGACGATGTTCACAAATTTAAAATGATGGCACTGGTAACAAAAGTGGATTACTCAGCCAAACGTGGCATAATGTTGCTTTTCATCAATCACCGGCTTGTGGATTCGACTGGTTAGTATGGACATACATTTTATTATATTTGTTTCTTACATTAAAGTGTATTATTTATCAATTAGCTTTGAAAGCAGCTATTGATAGTATCTACAGCACATATCTACCAAAAGGTATGCATCCATTTACGTATATTAGTTTGGAAATAACACCAACACACTTGGATGTAAATGTTCATCCGACGAAACACGAAGTACATTTTCTGTACGAAGACGAGATTATTGATAAAATCAAGAGGCGTATAGAACTGAAGCTTCTCGGGAGTAATACATCACGTACTTTTTACAAACAATTGCGTTTACCTGGTATAAATAATCCGGATGTGGATGATAAAAGTGGTACGAATTTGAAAAATAATGACAAAGAGCGTTTGGATAAAGATCGTGTACGAACTGATTCTAAGGAGCAAAAATTGGAAAAGTTTCTTCTGCAGAAATGTTTACCCAAAACAGTGACTAATTTAAATTCTAAAAACAACGATAATGATGGAGACGAAACTCTTTCAAGAAGTTCAAAACGGAAATCCGGTTTACTCACGAGCATAAAAGAAATGCAAGATAATATAGACCGTCGTCTTAATATAAGGTTGCGCCGAACATTGAAAGAACTCGTTTTTGTGGGAATAGTAGACGAAACATACGCTTTATTTCAGCAAGATACTAAATTATATTTGTGCAATACATGTAAGTTTTCTGAAGAACTTTTCTATCAGCGACTTTTGTTCGAATTTCAAAACCTTCCGCATATCAAATTGGAGCCTTCACTAAATATCAAAGAGCTGGTTCGAATTGCTTTAGATTGCGAGGAAGCTGGTTGGTCGCCAAATGACGGTGATAAGATCGATCTTGCTGAACGTGCAGCTAATATCCTTCTTGCAAAGGCACCAATAATGCGCGATTACTTTTCTTTAAGAATTAATGAAGATGCTCAATTAGAAACACTCCCCGCAATTATACCACAGTTCCATCCCAGCAGTGTACACTTACCGATGTATATATTACGATTAGCCACAGAAGTGGATTGGGATACTGAAGTTGAATGTTTTGAAACATTTTGTAGAGAAACGGCAAGATTTTATTCACAAACATCCTCATTGGATATTGAATCAATGCCACAACGACATAAATTTTCGGTAGAGCACATCTTATACCCATCATTTAAACGCTATCTGCTTCCACCTAATTCTCTTAAGCAACAATTATTCGAACTGACAAATTTATCTCGATTGTACAAAGTATTTGAAAGATGCTAACCATCAATACAAATAATTTGCATAAAAATAAAATAGCAGGTATATATTTGAAAGATTAATTATTGTAAAGCCTGTAATAAGTGGCTTATACGCAAGAAAGAATAAAGATATTTTATAACAATAACATTTTTTAATCACATATTTTACAAGTTTGGTTGACATATACGTTGCTCACGTTGAGAGTTTGCCACATGCTCCTTTAATAGTCGCATAATTTCATTGTCATGTTCCGGTGGTGTGGGTTTTACATTTGTAGCCCAGTAATATATGTCCCAATCATTAGTTACGCCATTAATAAGTTGATCATATTGTGCTGTTTGTGTAGCATCCATGTCTTTTAAGTAACGCGCCACAAATGTACTGAGAATCAAATCATTTTCAAGCATGCCGCGTTTTCGAGACTGATAAATAAGACTGAAAGATTTTATGAGATGCTTAGCAAATTATGTATACAAATACATTAGATCTGGAGCCGTACCGTTGTTTCCGTACTTCTAGTGGTTCATCAGGGCGCAAAGGGTACTCTGGCAGAGGCAAATAATCTGGATCTTCATAATCGATAATTGGTACATCTGCGTGGTTTAACACCTTTGCCTTTTCTTTCAAATCACCGTCATCAGTAGGTTTTATTGTTGAAAAAGGCTGCAAACGCAATATACTACGACGTGAGCCCGCACACTAGAAAAAAACTTTGTATTGCGGTAATTATGCAATAATCACTTTCTTATGCTCACCAATAATTGTCGTAACATTTTTAAGCTTACGAAAATTTCAAAACACTAATTTTGTATCTAAAAATTAGAACAGACTATGATTTTCGTCCCAGTTAAATCAAAACAGGATATTCCAGATTGTTTTGGCGAAAAAATTAGATATGTATACATATGTATAAAAGTTAATACGGAAATTGTAACAGAAAGAGGAACGACATTAATACAGGGTGGTTTCATTTATTATAATTAACTTTTTATATGATTCTCACCATTTGTAATATCAAATTTGTTATTCCAAGTATGTAATTATTGAAAAATATAGTTTTAATTATTAAAAAGTAATTCATTGTTTTTGCAATAGATTGGTTTAATGTATAGTGCGATAAGGTTTCGCATATAACTTAGGAAAATTGAATCCCAGAGTGTAAAATAACATTCTCTGATAGTCAGATAATTTTAACTACTGTAAACAAATCCTTCAATTTAATGCAAATAAAAGATTACTCTTTACTATACCAATATAAAAAAAGAAATGCATTTCAAGAAAAAAAATCTCAAATTAAAATTCAATCATATCTCAGTGTACACAAGTTCAGCTTTAAATATCAAATATGCCATTTTAAAAATGTGTGAAACTATAAGTATTTTTGTACATAATTTTGTATATTTATTAACAAAAGTAAAGCTTTCGAACTTTGAGGCATATGAATACCGATATGCCAACAAAAATTGTAGTATATTTGAAGTACGACTTGAGTTTTAGTCGCTTGCGATCAGCCAGGTACTCATCGTAGTCAATGTATAAAGGATTTTTCGGAGGACTAAACGTTGACAGCTGTAAGAACATCACAATAAATATATATGTACATATGTAAATAAATCTAATATATTTACGTATTTAGTAGTTTTGTGCAGTTCTCTTATCGTTGCTCGGTAGGCATCCAAGTTGCGTTGCATTGCTTGCAACTGTTCTTGGGGAACAACTCCAAACATTCCCGATTTAATATTATGTTTTATGAAACGAAGAGTAGCGGTTAATATAACCAAATGTTGTAAATGGTTTGCGGTAACCATTAATATTTCATAGAAACTAAAAAATTAACAAATAAAACCTTGGAAGAAAATTCAATATAAAATTATTACTTTTCTTTAGAGGATCTGCTCACTCTCGCAATGGACTTTTTCGACCAATGATGTAAATGAAAACTGTCATGAAAGCAAAAAATTAACATAAATATAAATACATAGATATTAATATATACACTCACTCAAGAAGACCCTTCATTATTTTCATACGAAAAATTGGATATTTAATTCCAACGTCTTTCAATTCGTCGTCATTCATAGATAGAAATTCTAATAGCGAAATCCTCTCTTTTGCAAAATATTCTAAAAATTTACCCATATTCAATGAAGAAAGTATTACATTAATTTCCTGGAAGTATTCCGGACAATCGGATTTCAAGAAAATTCTTGGTATGTAATCACGCAAAGTATTGTAACCAAGAAATTGTGGTGGCACAACATAAGTATCCTTTTCCTTCGGGAGGTATTCTAGTAAATCATAAAATCCATGAAATTGCGCCACTTGAACCGGTGTATAGCCTTTTCTGTTGGCAATAGTTGCATTGACACCAGCATCCACAAGGAGTTTTACAATATCTGCTCGATTATTTTCAATTGCGTGAAATATGGGAGTACAGCCTTGATTATCAACCGCATCGAAGGACACATCTTTCAGCATTCGTCTTACTACACCTGTATATCCATTTTTACAGGCCCGCATAAAAGGCGTATTTCCGTATTTGTCAGAAACATTTATCACAGCACCATGTTTAAGCAAAAGCTCTATTAATCTTTCAATTCTGTGTGAATCTGTATTTATGCACTCACAAGCGAGCATAAGAGGTGTGAACGAGTCCACCTGTTTATTGGCATCAGCTTTAAAATCTTCTAGCAAGCATTTTACGATAGATAGTTGCCCCTCTCGACAAGCAGTCATAAGTGGTGTAAAACCTCCTGGAAGAACACGTAAATTGTGTAAGAGTTAATCAAAATTATATATATATGTAAACTTTTCTTCACCGTTTATTGATTCATTTATGGATATGCTCGATTCCCGAACTTGTTGCATAAATTTCTCGATGTCACCACTTGTAATAGCAATAAGTAAAGCTGCATTTATGTTTTGTTGTTGTTGCCAAGTGGATATTGTACGTTCCTTTTTGGACACCTACAATTACAGAGTTGTGTGTAATTACATATGTATTATTGGAGTCGATAAGGACGTTTCGTGATTTTATCCTTGAAATCGTTTAATGTCAGACATAATTCTCAATAACAACTTTCTGTATCTATATGATTATTGCAGATACATACTAACCATGTTATCAAAATAAAACCCATCGTAATCATCTGAGTCCTCGGAATCCGTCATTGGGGGCCGATAATTAATTTCTCGTCCTGGCATCTTTACGTTTACGTTTATTCCCTTCAATGCGACTAAAAATCAGATTCCGACGTTTAGCAAAAGATTTCTAAATTGATTTATTTACATCTCACGAAAAAGAGAATAAAGCAAATAAACTTTTGATAATGCCTGAAAAAAAATAAAACGGAATGCGACAGATAGCACAAGACAGAGAACGTATAACGTATAACATATACAGAGACCGTATAACATATTTTATACGTTCTCTGGATAGCAGAGCTGTCAATAATTTTGAATATTAAAGTAATTAAAGCGAATTCAGAAAAACTATACTTAGTTTTGAGGCACAGAAATTTGATATTGTCCAGGAAGAAAAAGTGTATGTCAAACACTTCTTCAAAGAACGTAAATTTACATAGTCAAATTAATTTACGGTTTTTGGAACAGTTTCTACGGATTTTCGTGAACAAGAATCAAATCAACTATGTTCGTATTCGCCTTTGATAGTGTAATAGAGTTTGAAAAATCTATTACATTGAAGAGCAGCTGATTAAACCAATCAGGGAGGATACGAAATCATGGATAGAAACTCATAGCAACCCTGAATACTTCAAACACGCAGTTGAAGAAGAATCGAAAAGTTTCTGTTGTGAAAATTCGATAAACTAGGGGAAAAAAAGAAACTTTATTTGTAACCAAGGAATTGTGGGTATTTTTGAAATCAAGTTATATATTTACACTGGTAAGCATTTACTTATAAATAAGTATGTCAAAAGAAACGGCGGAAAATCATGAAAACAAACAAGCCGCCGATCAAAGCGCAGGTGTCAGTGGAGCAGGAGAATTGGCTGCTTGTGAAGAATGTGATGATAAGGCTAGTTGTGGAGCAGCTATAAACAATGTTGATCGCGGCGGGGGACAAAACGAACACTCGAAAAATTCATTCAATGAATCTCCGCCGTCATTGTCGCCAGTTATGTCATTAACGCCAACACCTACTCCGTCTCCTACAACGGACACCTGTCGAGAGGAGATGGGTGCCTGCTCGTCAAGTATTCTGAGTGAGAATGAAGAATACATTTTACATAGATGTGTTTTTCAAGGTGACTATAAACGGTTGGCCCGACTTATTCAAAGACCTTCGTTAAACCTCAAACGAATACAAGAAGAAATTGGTAACAAGGATAAACATGGCAATACGCCATTACATCTAGCAGTGATGCTCGGGCGGAAAGAGTGTATCAATTTACTCTTAGCTCACGGAGCTCCAGTAAAAATAAAAAATTGTGAGGGATGGTCACCCCTCGCTGAAGCAATCAGCTATGGTGATCGTCAAACTATTTCTGCCCTACTTTCCAAACTGAAATTGCAATCTCGACAGCATATGGAAGCTCGACGCTCTAAGTTAGTTCGTGCTCTAACTCAAATGAAAGATTTTTACTTGGAACTAAAATGGGATTTTGCTTCATGGGTACCACTTGTATCACGCATGTTGCCGTCCGATATATGCCGTATACATAAGTCTGGATCGTCTCTACGTCTCGATACAACATTGGTAGACTTCAATGATATGCGTTGGGAAAGAGGTGATATTTCATTTATTTTTCGTGGTGATAAGCCGAGAGGTGAATCATTAGTTGTTTTAGATAACGAATATGAATGTTATCAGCACATACGATATGAAGACACAGATATTGAAGATGAGGTAGACGTCCTGATGTCTACAGATATTTTAGCTGCTCAAATGTCAACTAAAAGTATACAATTTGCACGGGCTCAAAGCGGGTGGATTTTTCGCGAAGACAGGAAGGAATTGGTTAGTGGGCAGTATCAATGCGATTTATATTCGATACTAGGCCTTGTATTAAAACAACGTAAGAGACGAGAGCACCTTTCACATGAAGACCTACAAAAAAACAGGGCCATTGTTGATTCAATAACGCGTGGCGGTCGACGAGCAAGTGTAACAAGTGCTAACGGTGCCGGCGGATCTAGTGGTGATTCAACAAACGGTTCCGGAACAGAAATGCCCCGAAGAAGCTCTTTGCAACCACCACCACAACCAACAGTAACGTGGGAGGAATATATAAATGCGCCTTCCGGTAAATGTCCTCAATTAGGGCGACCACCAGTGCACAAACAATCAAACAAAAGTATACGGGCTACAGTGGCAATGAGTAAAGATTTCCCGCTTAGTGTAGAAATGTTACTAAATGTTCTCGAAGTAATAGCGCCGTTCAAACACATAAATAAATTACGAGAATTTATAACATTGAAATTGCCAACGGGTTTCCCCGTCAAAGTGGAGATACCAGTTCTGCATACCGTGACAGCAAAGATAACATTTCAAAAGTTTGAATTTCGTGACAACATACCAGAAACGCTATTTGATGTGCCGTCACATTATGTAGAGGATGCACGTCGGTTTCCTGATTTATGACCCACAGGAACGCCCCAGCAGCAAACGGCAGATAACGTTGATTTAAACCGTAATGCCACAACAAACGACCGCTCACCACCCACATCTAGAAGCGGCAGGCCAAAATCACATACCGGGTTCGTTGAAATAGACTAGTGTATGTCTGAAATCAATATAGAACTGTGATAATAGCAGCGATGTATTATTATCATGGCGAACAGGTATTCTGAGGTTAATTAATCGCCTTATTAATTATATTTAAACAGCCCACAGAATGTTTAGAGTTCGTATATAACTATATATTAGTTATGCAAACTATTTCCATGTAATGACTGCTAAAAACTAATGCATAATTAATCCATCAGTCTCGCTGGTGAGTGTTTTTCTGTTTAAGTAAGATTAAAAAATTAAAAAAAAAAAAATTTTATTTTACATTACCACTACTGCTTTAAACCACGATAAATAAATTAAAATATTAATTAATTATTCCCAAAATTGATGTCTGCCTGAAATATTCATACATATAAATACATAAATATGTACAAAGTAAACTTTTTAACCAATTTGTAACTGTTATAATTTAAAATTTTAATTACCGTAATAATGACACTTCGGTGGTATACCAACGTAATGAAATCTAAAACTTTGAATTATAACGAAAATATCTATTTATTTTATGTCGTATTGACTAATGTATGCATGTATGAAGAATTAATTTGTAGACCTAGGTTATATAAGTGACAAGTACAATCGTCAGTCCTAGTTCCTGGTTTTAATTAGAATTTCGGCGTTGTAACGAAATCAGATAACAGAGCACTTTTTAATTGAAATTGAATTTTCCGAAACTATACAAAAAAAAAGTTTACTTAAAGGAAAATTTCTGCAGCAGTGCTACATACATAGATATATTATATAGAAGTATAAATAAAAATACTTTATTTCCTTTCGTATTGATTCTACAAGAAATGCCATAAGTTTATGGACTATTATTGAGCAGCATTCATATAAATGTCGTGTGTAGTTATTTAGGTCTGTACGTAGTTACTAAGTTAAGTATAGGTAAAATCGTCACATTTCAATATATTAATCTCTTTATAAAAGCAAAAAGGTTTTGTATGAAAGTCTTTTTTTGTTTGTTTATTTTTCGTTGTAAACGTGGGCATATCAAATACATTATAAATTTATGTAACACTTTGTTAAACAAAAGCCACATAACAGTGACTGCAATTCCATGTTGCAATGTGTTTATTTCTTATTTGCGTAAACATACATTTAATTAAGTATTAAAGTTTATTGAAATAATTGTTAACTTTAATTGTGGAAATGTTGGTTATTCGAAGAACTGTTATTTTCTTTTTACGCTCAGCAAGATTTCGCTGTAAATATGTCAGTACATATACGTATATATAAGTAACACACACACCTAATAGATAGTAAGAATTATATATTGTGCAGATGTTATAAATTAATAATTAAGAACACTTAAACGTCTCTCGACATACATACATTTAAACATATACATCGCTTTACTTTGTAATAAATCAATTAGTTCATCCATTATCGACACAATATATGGAAATATGTGCGTATGCTAAAGTTATTTTGCAAAACGTATTAGGCTGCAGCATTACGCTTGTACATAGTTATGTGGATAAACTGCTACTTGTATGCCCTAATGAATATAACGTAATCAAAACTAAAGCTTTACTTCAGAGGTTCCAACACGAGAATCATAAGAATTAAATTATAAAATAAGCTCATTAGAACCTAACAGGTTTATTTTGTGTATTTACATAAATATGAAATTATGTAATTAATTTATGAGTTATTCCAAAAACATGTATGTTATTTAAAATAAATATTTTAAAAACCTTTTTTTTTTGGGCTGCCATATATTATCTTATGCATACCAACATTTGTTCATTGAAATGCTGTATATGTACATACATACATGTTACATCCAATAATGCACTATTTTTTTAAATGTCAAAGAAAATACAAAACGTATGTTCAATAAATATTTAAGTTTAGTAGTGTGTGAACTATTTAGTAAATTTTTAAAAGTAACAAAATGTTTTGTACTTAACATTATATAAAATCTATGTTAATATGCCAAGCACATACATATGTAGGTATAATCACGAATAAGCTTAAATTTTTAATTATTGCAGTGTGCATACATGGCGCAAAATATGTGCATATGTATGTATGAAATTACTATAGATACTATGAAGTAAAAAATATTAAATTACGTACACGCACGTACACACAGCCTTCACGACATAACCCTTTTAGATCACCTAAGTATTAATTATAAGCCGTGAAGTTAAAACTAAAATAAAAGCTAGCAAATACATCTACTATATCTACATACATTATTCATACATACATATATCTACAATCAAAGTTTATGTAAAGTGATTCCATTATTGTTTAATTGCTTAATGAAATGCCTAATGTTGTTGTAAGTGAGAGTAAGAGAACATTCATATTTCATATTTGTATTGCTATAAACCTTTGAATTTAACTCAAAACATTAAAATATAATTTTTTCAACTGGAGTACACATTACATGAAATAAATACATATTAATAAAAAACCGTTACATTTTTTAATTATTTGGGTACTAGATAAATACATATAACTAAAGGAAAATTTAGACGAAAAGAAAATCAAAATACATACCGCTGAGCTCGGCATATGTCGGTGCTCGCAAGCACAATCGAGTTCAAGTTTTGTTGTCCTATCACTTGAACGTTTGCTATTTTAATTTAGTAGTTTGTCGAAAATTGTTATTTGAATCGTTAAGAAATTTTTTAATATATATATAATATTCAAAACCTTATGAACAGTTTTTATTCCCACATATTTTATTATAAAAAAAATACTTTATTAAATACAAATATATACTCGTTAATAACTACACATTCAATAAATTTAGTTCACTATGTGGACTTACATGCTAAAGTAGCCGGTTATTATGACTATTACTAGATTCGTATTAAATGCAACCTTGCACTACGCAATCAGCTGACGCAAATTGAAAAGTCAAACAACAACATCTTTCAAAATTACAACTAGGTCAATAGTAAGTCATTTTCTTAAAGTTATTATTTTTTTTATAAATTAAATTTAATAATTTCGGTATTAGTGAATTCATTATATTCTTCCACCAGCTAAAGTTTGTAACAAAAAGTGTAGCTTTTCATTTCTTTTACTTCAATCTAGAACCATCTCTTTATTTCTTTACTGAAGACACATAAAAAGGAATAATGGTTATTTCTCGCCTTATACGTCCATTACTGACGGCGCGTGGAGTTATGGGCCACACTTTGGGAAAACGTTCAAAATTGGCATATATGACCCAAGGCACACATTTTCGCAGCGGTGCGTTGAAGCCAAAGCCACACCAAACACCATTTGGCATGGTATTTGTGTTCTGCGCTGTGTTACCTGGTCTATTTCTTGGCGCTGCTATAAGTAAAAGTGTTGCTAATTTCTTAGAGGAAAATGATCTTTTCGTACCATCTGAGGACGACGACGATGATGATGATGACTAAAATAAATGTATCCTAGCCATTTGACCACTTTAAGAAAAATAATATGGGCCAAAAAAAAAATTGATAAATTATCGAATTGAAATTTTTCGTTAAGAGCTTCTTGTTAAATAATTATTAAAAGTACATGTAAATTTATGATTAAAAGGAAAATCGTATTTGTATTTTATAATCAGTTGCAGGATTCATTAAGGATTTAGTCTGTCCTGCCATACGCGTGTTAGTCTTAAAGCCAATATCAAGGAATATGTTAACCCCAAATTCAAACAATTATCGTCAGTAACTTGAATCTACTTGGATACGTGAACTCAACAATTAAATAGGATATGCAATGAAAATCACGATGGCAATTTCTTTAAAATCTACATTTTATTGTTCCACAGTTTTATTAGACATTTCCTATAAATGTAATTTAAAATTATTATTAGATAATAAATATAATACCTAATCAAAATAACCTTAATTAAACTTTCAAAAATGAATCTTTGCTCTTTATTTCATCGATGATGTCAATATTTAGCTTAATGAGATAATAAGCTGATTTAATCCGCATCAAATTACGAATCATAACAATGAATTATGCAAATAAATGCAACCGATAAATATATTGAACATTATACATGCACACACCACACATTTCAGAGCTTTTATGGAACTGTACAATATAAACTAAAAGGAAGCGTATTCAGCAATTAAATTGACTAGACACCCACACACTCAATCGTTCAATTGCCTAATCAGACTTGCAATTTCGGGCAATCCAAACATTAACAAATGTATTTAAAAATGAAATGGCTAACATATTGAAATTATTCAAATTCCGTGATAATTTTATAACTACATGTCAGCTACTAACCATAGGAATACATTGATTCTGCTAATAATTTTTTAGGTCTTGCTCAATTTGCTTTTATGAAATGTTACGTCCGCGCAGGAAATTTGCTACAAGCAAGAGCAAAAATGAACTCGTTATATATATGCTACCTGGAAGCGAACGTCGTATTGGAAGATTCGGATCATTGTCACGTTGAGCAAACAACTCCAAATCTTCCTCATATGTGGCAAAATTATTCCAATTTAGGCATTTCCGTACAGCATAGTTCCAACGCTTATATAATTGTTCACGCCCTGGAACGAAAATAAGTACGATTTCAGTTTTGACTGGTATAAAAATTAGTTGTTACATTATGCTTACGATTTGTCGTCGTTGTGGGAATAAATGCGTCCACTGGTGGTGGATACATTACCTCCGCCTGCACCAAAGACACCACATTCATTGTTATGCCAGCACAAATCATTGCCCCTAAGCCAGCAGGCGATGTTGTCTGTGGTCTTTCCAACAAACAACCAACGATATCTGCTATAAATTGCACGAAAGAGTTATTCTCTGCATAGTCGCCACAAAATACCAAGCGCTCTTTATTGATTTTACGATTCCATGTGGGTGTATCTCGTTTAAAAGCATCCAAAACTTCGTGAATTTGGAAACCAGTTGCCTCATAAGCAGCCTGAGTAACATTTTCTGCTGTTGTTTGGCTCGTTAGACCCAGTAAAATTCTTTAAAACAAAAAATTCTATTCATTAAATAAATTTCCTTGTAATTGCATTGATAACATTATTAATGTGTCGTAGAAACATAAATTAAGCAGTTAAAAATTCTTTTGATTATATAATATATGGATTTTAATTTTGAAAACAAATCCAGAGATTTTCAAATTATGATGATTAGAAATAATCTTACCCTCGCGCATCGTAACGCCAATATGGCGCATATAACCCATGAAAAGCAGGCACAAATGTTATCTCTGAACGTTTCGCAGCCAATCCACACTCGGCATTTAGCATACCTGATGAACAAGATGAGGAAATCATTGAATTTTCCCCTAAAAACGTGCTTAGGACTTCAACGACATTGTCATTGGAATTAATTTCTGTGCTTATACGTAATCCCTGCTTAAGCCAATTAATGGTGGCACCGGCATTGGAAATAGCACCTTCCAACGAATAGGAAGCAGGCGCTTGTGGACCTAATTTTAAAGCCACCAGCGATAGCAAACCATTAGAAGACTCAATCAATTCTTCGCCTGTATTAAGCAATACAAAGCAGCTGTCATCGATAATGCAGACATTTTCACCAACTTTCGTTTGTAGTTGGCCAAGCAAGGCAGCTGGTTGTTCCCCAATGCACTATGATGAAAGAACGTTGAAAATATCACTATAATTACTATAAAATTACAAAGTATACCGCTGCTATGGGAAGACCATTCAGTGCACCCCCAATTATATAGCCATATAGTTCAGAATTTGAGCGTATACGCGGCAGTATTTGCATGGGAATACGAAAAAATTTGCAAAGTTTGGCGTCCCATTGATGAGTGTGTATATTCATAAGACTTGTGTAGCCTGCATTGGTTACATCTGTCAGGTGTACACCACTTATATTGGATCCAGTGAGATTCTGTACATTTGTTCATAAGCCGTATATAGTTAATACTTTATTTTTATTTTATTTTATATCTACCCATAATATCCACGAGTCAAGAGTGCCAAAGAGACACGTACCCTCGTTTATGGCATCAGATACCGCAGTTATATTTTCCTGAAGCCAGCGGATCTTAAGTGCACTGAAACATGTGCTTAAAGGCAATCCCGTTTTATGGCGCAAATAATCTGCATCATAATTTATATTACCAAGAATGGTCTTCAAAAGCGTGGAAGTCCGGCAATCGTTCCATCCTGGGCAAAAAACAAACTTGTCGTTGTATTTAATTTAATTTTATATTATTCTTTGATTTATTTGTATATATTTTTTACATATTACCAATAGCATTGCATAGAGGATTTCCAGTGCTTTTGTCCCATAAAAGTGTCGTTCCACGCTGACTACATATACTTATAGCAACCAAATCATACGGATTAATTTCCAAAATTATTAAGCTCCTGTAAGCTGTCTGTATAAAAAGAAGTATATACATATATTTCCAAGACGAAAATAATTTCTATATAGCATTGTTGTGAATGTGAATGAAATTTTCCGTGAAAACTAAATCTCATCAAAAAATTTTACACAACTCGGTAAAATTAACAAAAAAAAATTTCATACAGACCTCAATGCATTCTTGGGTGTTTTTCCATATTTCTAAGGGATCGTATTCTAGCCAACCTGCATTATGGACAATTTGACGTAATTTTATTTCATGAAAAGTCAATACTTCTGCATTTTTAGTTGAATAAATCTGGAAGATAACTTTATTAAACTCAGAGTTCCGTGAGTAATCTACTTTTTCGTACGAGAAATCGACAATGGGTACTGCTCACGTAGACCACACCAATCAATGGACCGAAGGCCCCAAAAGTAGGGCTGGCCATGACATTCAGTTGGTGCTTGATGACACTGTTTGTTTTAAGTTCTAATGATAGTCACTTTACACAGAAATATAAAGTACGGAATTGTTAATTGTTCAAACTAAACAAACATGCCGTAATTTGTTATTGCAAATATGATTGCATAAAAATAAGCTTGCTTGAACAACTGCTTTTCTATCAGCGACGCTTGACAACGACCGATGTCTGACAGGGTTGTCCAATTAGAGTACAATGCCAAAGAATATTACTACAACGGCGTTAGAATATGAATATTTATAATGATACAAATTAAACCAGAGAACGTACGTTATACCATTTACAAAAAAAATATACAATAAAAATAATAATTATATATATATTTTTTTATAACTAATTGTTTTTACTGATACCAGCCCGCAAGCTTAACTCTGACAGGATAATGATACTTAGGCGACATCTGTAGGAAACAGTTTTGTGTGTTTTTAAATTAAAGTTTCCATGACAGTGTTGAAGGACATGCGCCGACATTAAACAATAACAAATTGAGTTGGGTAAAAGGATATAGTATATTTGTTAAGCGTAAAATGGAAAATATTTAATGGACAAGAGAAAAACACATCCGATGATATCGTAATAGTTACATTTAAACTACGGAAATACACCAGCTAGCTTTTATATCAAAAATGCGTGAAACCTATGGACCAGACTTTGGTGAGTTTTACAAGTTGGGTAAAATCATCCCTTATTTTCGAAAGAAAAAAATGTTCTGCTTCATATGAACATGAATACTTAAAATACTTAGATATTAAGCCATATATGTATTTTTTTTATATTTGCATTGAATAAATTATAGACGATCGTCTCATACGGTTGGTACGCGACAATCCGGCTATTTATGATATCAACCATGAGCACTATAGACGTTATCAAATCAGAGTAGCTATTTGGGAAAGGATTGCATCCGAGATGCGTACACCATGTAAGTATATAATTAACTGCAGTTGGTTTTCTATATGGTCCCAGGTGATCTTTAGCTCTAATAAAAATAAGGCACATATTTTACTTATTAATGTATTCCAGCAAAATTTCTTCAAACAAAATGGAAAAACATACGATACAACTACTTGCAAGAACTTAAAAGTTTGGAAACGGGTTTGGCCAATGCGAATATCAGAAAACGACGGTTTACTGAAGACCTATCCTTTTTGCGAAATACTGCACAAACTTATAAAAAGGTCACACACATTAACTCATCATATAACAGCTCGTAAGTAAAAAAATGCATTTAATGAAATTTATAACTTTTAAATACATTAAAGAATTTGTAATGCGAAAAATATATTTTTCTCTCAAACTATAACCTACCAAAATCTAACAATATTAATCTTTTTAAAAACTTTATAAAAAATGAGTTTATGTGAACCAAGGTTTAAATCTCTAAATAAGAGTTGAATTAAAAATAATAATACAACATTTTTCTTAAGGTTATTATAAGAACATACATTTTAAATTGTTTCAGTGATAATGACAGTAACAGCTACATGTATACGGACCCTCAGAATACTAACACCTTTGAAATAATTGAAATCGAACATAGTGATGATGGCACCACAGCTTTGGAATACGCTGAGGCTGATTATAGTGGGTCACTCACCGATGTTATGCATCACCACCAAATTTTTGACGGTGAGATTGTTTCAACGCCAACGGTTAATGATTGCTACGGCAACCAATTACTGACTGAATTCAACATCCCAACTAAACTTGAGAAATCTAAAGAGACAGAACCAGACGTCACAATTGAAAAGAGAAATAAAAAAAGGTCGCGAAAGGCAAGCGCTACAATTGAAAATGATAGTGCTAACATGCAAGCTCCATCAACGCCAACACATTCAAATTATTCCAGACCTTCGACTCCAATGTTAACACCAATCGTTGTCATGGGTAAAGAAGAAAAACTGTTAACTAATGGTGAGCTAACATTAAAACCTGTAGCAACGCAAGCAAAATCAAAGCGACATCCTGCCGAAATAACGTCCGGCGCCGCAAAGCGGAAATCTATGCCGGCACCTTTTCCAGTGCTAACACCGATCAATGATCCAATTGAACTGTACTGTCTCTCACTAGTAGATAGTCTACGCAACATGCCACGTGCAGAACGAGAGCGTGTTAAATTCGAATTCGCTAAAATTCTTAAGGACGCAAAGTACAAAGATCAAAGTTAGTTAATAATTAGCATTACTTTCTATTACGTTTAAAAGGAATTGCCGATAATCCAGCTGTATTTGACATACTCAATATACTTGTAACATCTGCATTTTTTAATATAATTTAAACATTCATTCCATTGTTTTGAATGCAGTGGTAATCACACAACCCCTTATACTTTGTCATCAAATCCAAAACATTAGCACTAAGTTCCAAATAAAATTATATGTCGTTACGTCTTGAAATAACAAGATTAGTTTTGCTTTTTATTAGTTTTATTTCCACCGTTCCAAAAAGATGCTTAAAAGTCTAGATAATATAGTATGTATCAACTAATTCATATGTAGTTAGTATGTTGGTAATAATTGGGTAGTAAAACAAGTAATATGCTTTAACTAAAACAATCGTTATATTATATATGCTTTAGCATTATACGCAAAGTTTTATTTTAAAGTGCCTGGATGGCCAAATTATGTACCTCTTAGGTTGGGTATCTTGACATTAACATTCGATGCTAGCTAGATGCTACCTTTTTGGGACCTATTGTAATTTCCAAATTTCAAGCCCCTACCAAGACACAAAGCGCTTCTAGCAAGCTTAACGCGAAATAAGCTCTAAATACATAAATGCGAATTTATATATTTTCCCATTACATCTTCTACTCTTCTTTCCTAGAATAGCTTTAATAGTGGTCCGCAATGGGTCAACTCCAAACCCTTGAACAAATAAATTGAAAATAGATTATGCTTAAATATTTTTCAATGATTTAATTTGTAATTTTTAATTTATAACTAAATAAAACTGTTCAAAAAGCTGTTTTATCCAGTTTGCTTTGCAAATATTGTCTATGACTCAAAGTGTGTGTATGTCAATTATCTATTAGTTTTTTTCGCGAATTTTGTTATCTATAATCAGCTTACCGTGTTATAAAAATAATCATTATTTTGCTATCAAAACCTTGTCTATACTTTTGCGTGACTTCAAAAAAAAAGCACTATCGCACTTTATAGTGGTGAACTGATGTCGTAACTTTATTCAGTAAATAGTTTCTTTTAGCATAATTTTTCCTTCGAAATGAAAAAATGTAATGTTATATTCTTCTCCGCAGCTATCTTTTTTAAAACTAACCATGACCCATTTCTCGCTTTTTTTAAATTATTGTATTTTCGTATTTAAAATAAAAAAGGAATACTTGAAGATACCTTTATTCAACTTGGCTAATCTTGTCAACATGTCCTTAAAGACTTATACGTTGTTCGTTTCCAAATTTACAAAAAATATAAATTATGTTTCAAAAAAAATTTTCGTATAAGATTTTGCAGAGAATTCAAATAATTAGTAAAAAAAAAAAAAAAAAAAAAAAATGTGAACAAAATCCATAAAGTAAACTTAGTTTCAATGGTATGGCTATAACAATTATAATAGTATTATATGTTAAGATGGTTTATGATAATGAATTATTATCATAACATGAATAAGAATTAACACTTTAGATAAATTTCAAAAGTTAGAAATCAATGAATTTGAACGAATTTTTTACCCTTCGCTTAACTTTAAAACTGAGTGATGTGATATAAAAGTTGACATGCTAAGGACTGTACAACAACATCAAACGATGACTGATCTGTAATACAGTTTAGTTTGCTTTCCATGCATGTTTCACACATTTTCTGAGAGCACAAACAAGTTTTTAAGCATATCTTATTTTTCGGAGTTATTTCATTTTTTCATAGTACTTGCTGGCTCAAGTGCATTAGCAAAGTAGTCATTATAAGGTGTGTTAAGTCCACTTGGAGGATCTTTTTGTTGCTGCTCTGCCTGTGTCAGCTGTCTGGAACCACTTGGCCTACTCGCTTCATTAACCGCTGTAAAGTAATAATCTTCTGAGTTTTACTATATTTTTAAAATTATTATGAAATAAAGTATTACCTTCCAATTCATTTTTGTCATTAATATCGATAATGTCGGAAAGATCATACATTGGTTGATATGACATAAGCTCCGAGCCTGTTATGAATAGACAGATTATTAGAGTGGAATTACTAAAACAGGGGCTACACACACCTTTTTTATCATAGTTGGTCTCATTTACTAGATTCAAGCCATATGGTCCTAAAATATCGGCGTCATTAAAGAGCTGTAATGAAAAAAACAAAATTAATGCAGTCCTTTATTATTTTAACAACATATTTGTTTGAAGCTAAATAAATTTTCTATTGACAAGCATGTTTTAATCAAATAATTGTAAAAGAAATTGTAGGACCCATCTGACAACAACACTGGGATCTTTTTGTGTTTGTGTTTGTACCGAATTTCAATACATTGATCGAACATTATCTTGCTGCCACTAGCAGCGCTAATCCAGAAGAAAAATAATATGAAATCGACAAAATTTGGCTGACCTTAGTGAGAAACTCCCCATCCAGTTGTGATGGCAGGGAAATTCGATTAGTCGTATTTGTGGCATCTCCGTTCTAGATTTTGTTGAAAATGTTGCACGTTTTGTAGAATTTCATCGGAAAAATCGTATAAAAAATATTATATATGCATATTTTTTTGAAGGCATAATGCAGTTTCGTTCATATTTTTTAGTTTGTGTACGTTATTTCAGTACATATGTACATATTAAAGAGAGAGAAAAATAATAATTGCATGTAGTAAAATATAATAAATAAAAGGTAATAATTGAACAACGTGTAATTGGAAATATTTCGAAGAAATCGACATAGAAAACTAATAATAATTTAAATAGGCAAACAATTTTATACGTAGCTTGTAGAATTAACTTTGACTTAGATACATTTTTTTGCCGGCCTAGCGGTCCATTCATTATTGGTATTTGCAAGCCTTCAAATATTTTAGCATATTCTTGCAAGTAGTCTATGATTCTGCTATCGTCAATTTTTTTAAATACTAAGCAGCTTTGAGCTTGTAAGGTCAGTGAAATCTTGATAAACGTATAATTAGCCATATTATAATAAGTGAATATATAACTACGTGTATATTTAACATTTGAAAAAAAAAAATGCATGTTAGGGAATTCCAAATGGCTTCTTTTTAAGTGGTAAAGAAAAAAAATGTGTGTGTAGTATTTAAAAAAAAATAATACTTTGCTCAAAAGTGGTGGTTTTGTTTGGTCGAAATCTATGGTATATCTTCTAGAGTTAGCAGCTCAAACTTCAATGCCGAAATCCATAAATATTTGCATACTTACCCCCAAAAGAGTGTTAGCATCTAATGAATAACCGTCGCTACGTAATAAATCCTTTAACGATTCTAATTCATCCTGTACATTATCCAAATGATCGTTTACTTCATCTCTAATGATGGAAAATAAAAAAAACCCACATAAGTCTTCGCAATTCTATTCCCGACACTAAAATTATTCTCAGTTACTAACCCAATGCTCATACGCATAATTTCCTCACTGCCAGTACCACCGGCAGCACCACTTTTATATTTAGTTAGTGACATATTGTCTCCGTTATTATTTTTTCCGTGCAGGGAAGAAATTTGAGAACTCGCATTATTGCTCTCCTTCTCGAGGTTGGCAAATTGATTCCCGGCAGCAGCAGCTGCTGCTGCGGCAGATGTTGAGGCACCATTTGAGGTTACTAAACCGTTGTCATTACTGTTGCTGCGTGCAACGAATGAGGAAAATTTTCCACTGTTGGCTGTTGTCCGACCAAATTGAAGTTGTTGTTGTTGCTTTTGTTGTTGTTGCTGCTGCTGTTGGCTATAATTGTCTGACTCAGCGGGTATTACTGCGGATTCCTGCGATTAAAGTTTTAAAAAAATTTTTTGTTCACAAATTGACGTGTATCAAGTTAGTTAACCTCAAATATATCAGCAGGCATTTCGGGTGTCATAAATTCATTTGGGTTATAAAAGTTTGTTGCTTGTGTTCCACTCGCAAGTGAAGACCTATCGGTACCAGAACTTAACAAACTAGTGCCGTTCCCAAAAGAAGCGAGTGCATTGCTTTTAAGCGATGAAGATTGTTGACTGTCAGTATTTTTGATTCCATTATCCTCAGAAAAAGCACTTAAAAACCGCATAGAATCAATCGACGACCCCTTTTCGGCTTTAATTTGTAATGGCGATCGACGTTTTACACCGGAACTTGCCATTGCTGAAGATGAGGGCATGTCGGCTGTTTTTTCCTCCTCATCCGCGTGCTTACGCCGACGCCTATTTCTTTGTTTTAGCTGCTGTGTGCGTGCCATTTGCTGGCGCACCATGGGAGTCGTCAGTACATTCTCCTCACTGTAACTTGGGGATGCATTTGGCTTGGCATCGCTTTGCTGCGAATCTAACGCATCAGGCACCTCAGTAACATGATAGAATATATGTGAGCCGTCTGGATTTACAGACTTAATAATTGACGAATCTGAGCCAATTCCATTTTTCGGAGAGCTAATGACATTTGTTGCTTCACCCAAATTTACAGCGCCACTAGCGCCAGCTATGGCGGCGTACATGGCATCTTCTGCACTTTGATTAGAATAATCGTATTGTTGAGAGACTTGACTGATGCTAGAATGAGGTCGTTCAATGTTCTTTGGAGAGTCACTACTTTCTGCTTCATGATTTTGAATTAATATGCCATAAGGACTGGCTGTATCGCTAGAATAACAAAGAGTAAAATAAATGAGGCATATAGGTTAATGTCAACTAACAGCATAACAAACAACATATAACTTACATTAAATTCATGTCGGGATCGATCACGTCGTCGAGCAGCTCCTCTCCAAGTTCATGAATAACTGGCCCGCCCTCTGACTCGGACTCACTTTTTTTACGAAGCTTTGCATTGTCCGGTGCGTCATGAATCATCAACTGCATATGTCGCTTCACGCTGGTCATGTTTCGGGATGGTTGTACAATCGTGATCAAAAATTGTATGAGCTAATCATAGAACAAAAAAAAAAAAAACAATGATCATATAGTAAATGAAAAACTAAATGAGAAAACTAAGTACTAGCCTTATTAACGATTTGTTGTTGCTTGGCGTGTTTTTGTCTGAGTGATGCTATTTCACGCCATAGTGCCTCATTTTCCTGTTTCATAACAGAAAACCGCGAATCTAGCGAATCCTGGCGCCCACGCATTGCTTTAACATCTTGCAGCACTTTCGTAACGGCTTCAGGTTTCAAGCCTGATTTATCGTCTAGACCTTTTGTATTTGCAATTTTACGCTTAATATGTTCTAACAAATATGCGCAATTACGTTTAAAACAAGGGTGTGAAAATTCCATTTCATCACGGTCAAATTTCAAGCCACCATTGTCAATTGACGTTATTTTATGGAAACCATCTGCAAAATATAACACATATTAATTTAAATATTGATAAAAGCTATCCGTACAAATCAAACTTACACATATTTAGTTGTCGAATAAAACTGGCCATATTATTGTGTTTATAATTCAGAGGCAATAATTCACGAGCGAATTGGGCTTGGTTTTGTATTATGAAGCTTCGGCCATCCTAAAAGAAATTGGAAAAAATTAAGCAAAATAAAATCCTTACAAATTATATATATGTATGTATGTACATGATTTTTATTTATTTATTTTTGAAATTCGAAGTTTTGAGTTATAACGTGCAATAATAGCTATATTTTAACGCTATTATCTTATTTATAACATATAAATATATGTATATAATGTAAATATAAAGGGTGGATTTTCGGACGAACTTTACAATTTGTAGGTATTAGAATTTGTATTGTGACGGTTGAATTTTGAGAATCTAAAGATTTTCAGCAAGCCTTTGATTTGCCTACACCCACATGTAGACAAAACTTGAATGTATGGCTGGCGTGCGATTGATGGGACTTCAATTTGAGTACATTTGGCTGCGTACATATAGAAAGCTTATGCACGCTAGATGTAATTCACTTTAATTAAGTACATATATATATACGTTGTATTGACATTTGAATATGAATTAAGAGACGTAGAAAACGGGAAGTCACTGTTTTACCATTCCTAGAAGCATCCCATTAGAATTTTCAAATATACATATATAATAAAAAAAAAGTCAATTGCATTGTTGCCGAATTTCTTTACTAACTCAAATACTTATGATACCATAAATATACAGCCGTATGGAAATATTCGTATGTATGTACATACCATACATATGTATGCATGGATGTATAAGTACGCAAAACCACACATAATTATTGTTATACGTACCTTATTCCAACAAATTAAATGGTTGGTATCTGGATCATCCACCAGACGCCATAGCTTAGCCAAGAACGCCGGTACCCCGGCTCCAGTTTCACTAAAGGTATGCATAGATTCTGCTGCTTCGGTTCGGACGTCTTCTTGATCGGTTTCTACCTTGATGTTTGGTCTTAATTCAGTTGCACTTATTTTTCTTTTAGACGGCGTGGCCGTGGCAGTTTTCTCTTCCTGTATATTTATGTTAATTATTCAGTATTCTTTAATGATTATTGTACACTAAGGTAATAAATATAAATTTATACACATCTATTTATGCATATGATAAATAAAATAAAATATTTTCTCAAAATAAATTTCACCACACCTGTGCGTCGTCATAAAATATTTTTTCTATTTCCCGTTGTTTTGCTTTTCCGTCAATTTTACTACGCGTGTTTGCCATATAGGTTTTCACTTTCTTTTCTCTTTACTTATCGATTAAAAACTGGAGATCATTTTCAACTGTTTTCAGACTTAATTTAACACCCTACTTCATTTATTTTTTTGATTTTGTATTCTTTCTTTTAACAACTATTGTATTTTTCTTATCTCTCTTTCAGTTTGCTTTTCACTTCTATTTTTTCTTCATTCTCTTTAAATCATTTCAGATTAAACCATGACCGAATTTATTTATATGATCACTGTAAAAAATATATATAAAAAAAACGAATGAAGCAAAAACAACGTTTCGGAACAAAAGCAAACATTAGGTCAAAGCGTAACAAGCAACAAATTTCAGTAATTGGAATAACTGACGAAACGACCACCACGAATTTCTTAGTCGAAGCAGAACAGGCAAGGGAAAATTTCCAACATTTTACCCACTTTTTAATAGCAATCCAATTAATTTGTACACCTATGTGTTGTTGATCCGCGCATAACTATAAAAACACAACACTTTCATAGCTTTTATCACTATTTTCTAAAGTATAATTTGTAGTTTTTATAAGAAATTAATTATCGCATAAAAAGATGTCTGCTCAAAACTGTTCAATTTTACGTTTGATGATAATCTGCTCTAATAGAGTTGCCGTTGAATTTCAATTAAATTTCAGTAATAGATTTTATCTTAAGTCTTAGACGACGACCGATCAGAGAATATTATTATTTTATTATTACATTATTTTTTATCGTCTGCCCTGGTAGCCAAACGGCAAAGAACGTGTATGATGCATTCATCTACGTTCTTCGTTGTATGCAAAGATATTCGTTATGTACCGGTCCTTCTCGTTTAATTTACGATCTTTTAAAGAAACCAAATTTTTTTGAATGCTATGAAGCAACCCTGCACGCAGTTAATTGTCCAAAATCAATTCTGAATTGGAAATTGAGGACAGTTGAAGACAGAGTTGATTTACGTTCTCTGTTCAGGAAGAGCACGAATGGAAAATCAAAAGGAAATGAAAAAAAATCAGTTCGTATGTTGGGAAAATGGCTGACGGTATTAACTTTTATTCCGAGTGGAAAATTTGCAATTTAATGCGTGAATATTGTTAATTAGGGTAATAAAGCGGAGTTAACGAACTTTGGCTAAGTTGGTTTTATTTAAGCTTGGAGTAAATGTGTTAAAACAAGTGAGTGTGAATAAAATAATAAATGATGCCATCAAGTACGAACTCTTCCTTGTCTCATCAATAAAGTAAACTATTGAGTTGGAATATTCTTTGCTGTAGGATTTAGATTAGTGCAATATTTTTATGTGTGTACTACATATGTAATTAAATTAAATATTCAATTTAACCTTTTATTGATACACAATTTTATAGTCAGAAGAAAATTATTTAAATTGATGTGTATAAATTTTATAAACTGTTCTAACTTCCAACATTGGAAGACGAAAGAGCAAAATTATTCGTCTTCTTCACACCTAGAGACAGCCACTTGCCGGCAAAGCATAACAGCGCTGCCAATTCGCTATAATATTGCATGTAAATAATTAAAATCTTTTTGATAACCAATTCCTTGAGCTGGATTTTTAGTCTACGGGATGTGCTTTGAATATCTACTAAATGTTCTTTTAATTTTTTTAATAGATATATATAATCGAAAGTGGATAATTTGCATCTTCTCTAGTATTAAGTAAATCCCAGAATTATGAATAGCTCTGCCTACGACCCGAATATCATTCATCAGGATCATCCAAATATGCAGCACACAACGCCTCGTACTGCACACTTACATCATCATAATATATCTCATCCTATTGGAAGTTTTTTCCTTTCGTCTAATACCTCATTACCGATTTCTGAGCAACAACAATCAGCACAATTGCAACTTCCGAATGTCAGTACTTGTACAAATAACGGTTCCGAAATGACAACACAATCTCAACCAAATACTACAACGGATCCAAGAGGAATTTTTAGTCCACGTCAAATGCCAATAAATAACGCATTGGGTAAAAATTTCTTCAACCCAGCTGTTGCTGGCATCCAACCACCAGCTCAGAGATTTTTTGGCGGCATTACACCGACCGTCACAACTTCTGTTGCTACAAATCCAGTCCAACAAGCTAGCGCACAACAACACCAACCAGGAAATACTATCTTAATAACGAACAATTTTTCTACACATCAATTCGGTGCTACATCTACCAATGTTGCCGAAGCAGGTACAAACGCAACTACTGGAATTATAAATAGTATACCACCAACCGCCTCCCCATCTTCGGACTGTTACCATAACGGAAACGCAAACAATATTCGAATAATAACAACATTGCCAAGCGTGTTGCACCATCATCAACATCAGCAACAACAGCAAAATGCGTACGACATTGTAAAAGATGTTGAAGCAACTGTGCGGGACGAAATGATACAACTGCCCCAATTTTACCATACACCACATTCACAATCTACTTATGGACAACATTTGGCACCAAGTTTGTCCACAAACTTCGGTCAACATCATTTTGCAGCGTCAGCAACATCTCCAGCGTCGATGCAAATCTCTCAAAATGAACAACAGCAACATCAATTTTTTATGTTTACAAATGACAACGACAGGGATGCAGCGACAACAAACAGCCTGCCATCTGTTGCAAAATTAATACCCTCTATCACAGAAGAATGTTCCACTGTTGCGGAAAAAGTTACCACGTCGCCGGCAATGATTTCTTCTTCAGCGAATACTACAAATTCAAACTCGACACTAGTGTTGGATCGCATTAACATTTGTATAAATAATCATTACAGTGATTCTCTAGGACCGTCAAATACTTTGTGTACCACAACGTTAGACACAAAAAAAACAACCGCAAATTCGGCAATAACATCTACTGCAAATACGTACACAGTAGCTACGCATGCTCCTCAACAGCCCTCACCAATAATACCCGCTATTCACCATAAACTAGTCTTGGAGCCGGCTGGGAGTGGAATTAGTAATGGGATACACAGCGATCCCTATACCAATAACAATTCCGCTTTGGTAATCGATGAGCCCGACTCGACTACAACCACTCCCCATACACCACCCACAACACCCGAGAATAGCTCCTCACCTCCTTTGCCAGTGAACTCGATTTCGACAAGAAATACCCCGCAGTCAGTTACTGGTCAAATAATAGTCGAAGACTCAGTAGCCGAAAACAAAAGCACCTTTACAATATCTACTCAAATAACAGATTCCAGTGCTGCAATGAAGGCAATAGCAAATAAAATAGCAGAGAAGAGTTCAACCGGTAGAACAGAGAAGACATTTGTAACACTTACGCAAAGCATTGACTTGGTCGACAAAGAAGTTAGTGAATACGTCAGTAACAATGTGGAAAATGAAAATCAAACTCGAAAGGGAACGAAAACCGATGATTTACTCGAAAACAGCATTATGGAAATAGTTGAGATTGACGACAGTGAAATGCATCCTTCAACACAGGAGACTATGCGAACGGAAAATACTATTACATCTGGAGAAACGGCAAGCCTATCTACACACGAAAATCTGCAGGATAAAAGAGGTAATCTTGATATGAAACGGGCTAATATGGACTCACCGCAATTGCCAGCATTCGTACAAACAACTCTAGCTGCTGCTAATAAAACAGCTTCTACAATGACACTACTTACCCCACCGACACCGCCTATATCGTCTCCAGCTTCACATGGAGATTTAGCTCAAAACAATGTTGCCAACTCTTTCACTTCTTCACCTGACATCTCTTTTTCTATGGGCGAAGATGTTTTTATACGAAAAGAAGATGGCAGGCAGTATCTTGGCACCGTTATAGGCAGCAGTGCTGTTGGGGAATTCAGTAAATTACAAAAAGTTCAATATTTGATACGGTTTGATGATAGCTCTGAGCTCTGGTGTGGTTCAAAGGAAATGAGAAGACTTGAAAGTAATGTCGGAAATAGCAATACACATATGTGTGTGGCTTGCAAGCGTAAGCAAATTCACGACGTTGTCGAAATATGTGAAGATTGCAGGCGCGGTTACCACCGTACGTGTACCAGAGAAACTACCCCAGGCAGCGGAGTGTGGTGGTGCCTGCGGTAAGTGAAACTGGCATTTAAATAAATGTATATTCATAAATACAATGCTATATTTCTTTAGATGCAGCAAACCCATGAAGGATTGGCCGATAATAGTAAGCAAGACTGTGTATAAGCCCCTAAACCATCACAACAGGTATGTAAGAACATGAAAATTTTGAAAATAAAAACAATAATGTATGCAATAATGCCTTAGCTACAGAAACTATGTGGATGTCGCCAAAACTTCACCATCATCTCTAAAACGGAGAAACGCAGCAGATGTGTATGAATTTCATGTTGAAGACAATGAAATATTTACTTCGGATGACGAAATACCAATAAAGCATATAATAGACAAAGTGCGCAAAAGTAAGGAACCAACTTTAAACTCAAATTCAGGTGGTTTGAAGGTAAATCCGACGAAAAAGCATAACATCTCAGAATCCATAATATGTGATCCAATCGTGGTTATTGCGGACGAAAATGCAAATGATGCTAACAGCCTTCTAGAAATGCCTCACACATTGAAAAAAGAAAAGTTCGATGAGAAGGATTTATTAATTAGTACACAGACCAATTGTGTGGGGTTTGTTAAACAGGTTGACAAGAATAAGATAGAAATTATTGCAAAAAACAATGATTGCTTGATTCCGACTAAAGTAGAAGAAGTTAATTCCACATATTCTGCACATAGTAAAGTATCCTCAGGTGTTGTTGAGCGCAGCAGCCGTAAACGAAAAGCATTCACTTTATCGAATTCCTACAAAGCGGTCGCCGCTGAGGCAGCTTCAAAGCGTTATGACACTAGCCGGATCTGTGACTCATCATCGGATGAAAACTCATCAAGTAGCCGAGGTACATCGCTAGATGTGATCATACCACCACCGAAAAACTTTCTTGGTCTGAATAATCCGTTTCGTATCGTTACACCTAAAAAGAATTCAATAGCAGGTGCTAATGCCAGTGGCGTACAAAGTTTATTAAATTTCAACCGTAGCGGCACAATGATTAAAAGCAGTATTTTCAATACAACGGCTTTGGATTTCAGCTCGAAATTGGCAGCGCTTAAAAGTGCGGGCATGTTTCCAAATCTAAGTACAAGTAATTTAGCTAAGGCTGCCGGTCAGCCCCGAACAGTTCGCACTATCAAGCGAAGACTGAGTGCCAAAGATATAACAATCGGCCCAAATCAGGAGGTACGAAGAAGACGAACTCGTCGTCTTTCCTCTAATGTAGAGGTAAAGCTATTCTGACTTTTACTAAAATGTTAGGAATTTATTTGAAATAAAAAGTAATAAACTTAATTATATATTCACCAGGTTATTAGTACAACAACTATCAATCCCATTCCTAGCAACTTTTTCCCTATACATGCCAAAGACCTGTTGCCTGTTCAGCTCACCACGACCAGGGTTACTTCAACATGTAACAAACAACAACAACAACTAGCACAAAGACAAATTTCATTAATATCATCTTCTTCATCGGCGTTATCATCCCCACCGGATTCGGTAGCATCTAGTGTGGATGTGCCGGTCGAAATTAAACCTCAAACGAAACCCTCCCACGGACGACGTTTAAGACAGAGGCCACAGCAAAAGAATTCACCTGCCATCAGTCGTCGTAGTTCGGTTTCCAGTGCAAGCACTTCATCGTCAACAAACTCATCTAGTAATATAACCTTAGCTGCATTACAACAACAACAGGCACTGCTCAAAAGCAACACTAAAAATTCAAATAATATGAAGGCTGCTGACACTCGCAGTAGCATGCAAGATCTTAAACAGTCGGTAAAGGAGTATTTCGGAGGGGTGATGAATCGCATAGAATCGGGTGAACAATTTTGCATTCGTGCCAAACGACAATTAGCCAGTGGACAGACACAGTATCTGATTGAATGGGGCGATGTTGCTGCAGTTCCATTGCAAGGACATACAAATTCAAGCATATCGCCAACTAATTTGACAATGACGATCGTGCAGGATCAATAGATGAAAGAAGAAACAAGAAAAAAAATTCGACTTCCAATTATTATTCAACTCTGTTCAGGGCACTTGTATTTAAAATTCTTTCTCATATATATATATATACAGATAGAGATATAGTTTATAAGGACTCTATTGTCCCGGTTCAAATAATTTGAAAAATCTGAGGACACAATACACCATTGGTGGCGGTGCATGTGCTCATTACAAATCTATCTATCTATATATGTATATAGATTTGTATGCTTAATTCAAAAAATTCATCGGATAATGTATGGACCCATTGGAATTTTGTTCTCTAGTTTATCGTTGTTACCTTACTTTCGGTTATATTTTACAAATCTTTGGCATGTTATATGTGAATACTAAAATTTGTAAGTAAAGCATTACAATATTCTTAAGTTTTTTTTTACATTAATTTATATATTACGTATTGGTAGAGACTGTTTGATAGTTAAATTAAGTCTTAATCGTATTAATTGGCTGTTATGTTATATTCAACTTATTTCACAAAATACACGAGCAAAAAATTTTAGAAATTAATATTGGTATGTATGTATATGATGAGTTATAGATGTAAATCAAATTAATTTAGATGAAAAGTTGTTAATCCTAAAAAATTGAGAGATGTGTTTAGTTCGATTTATTTACACGGGCAAACGCTTTGAAACTTAATTAATGGCAAATATATATGTATGTAAACATTTAAATCTTCAAATTTAATAACAGCATAACATTTTACCTGCCACTAGTTCTCAAAATTAATTATATTTTACAGACTTCAAAAATTTTGATAATAATTTTTTGAATATTTCATATTAGAGAGTTATTTGAATTATCAGCGCCCTTCCACTGCCATTTTTATGCTCTAATAAATAGTGAATAATATTATTACAAGTTTTATATCTAAATGGCGAATTCAATTAAAACCTTAACATTATACAGGTCTAAATGTGCAATGGTTGCAGTAGTAAGAAATCCATACATACATACATACACCATATTTATATATACATACATAAAGTTTCATGATAAATGTACGTAAAACAGCCAAATCGATAAGAGCTCAAGAGTACAAAAAAAAAATTAAAAGAAACGCTGTTGAGTTAATTAATTAAAAAAACGATAATTCATGTGTTCGATTTCTAATTTTAGATAATCCGACTGAGACAGTGAACTCTAGCAAATCTTATGTATGTAGTAATGCTTAGCACAAAATTCGCCGTACATCAAGTTAGAAAAAATGGGCTATTAATTATTATTTCTATTACTTAAAACAAGTTCAAAGATTTTGGCAAATGAAGAAATTTTACATTTATAGAAACCTACATATGTCTGAAAAATGAGAATAAATGGGTGAAAATAGCTATCTTAACACGAATCACTAAATGTATTTTAATTGGATTGAGGGCAAATATTTATGAGTATTATAAATACAAATTAATTTTTTTTAAGAAACTAATTACATAAATAAAATCAATATAACATAAAACTTTGTTTGAATGAGATGTATATGTATTTGAAATAAAATGTAATAATAAATGTTTGTTTAAAAATAATGATTATCATCATATTTAATGGATATTAAACAAAGCAATTTAAATATTTCATTATCCGTAAAAAAATTATAAAAGAAGAATATATTTTTTTAATCTCTAAATAGAAATAGAGTAGAATAGAAATAGAAAGGAAAATTTTTTAAAATGAAACAGTTGCTAAATTCTGTGTGTCACGTTTCTTGAAAATATTATTCTAATTAGGAACGGACTTATTAATCTCCATATCTTCACTAATAATTATTTATTTATTTCATTAAATTGTGGACGAGTCCTACAATAACTGTTCTAAGAATATTATTTGTTCTGCTTTGTTTTAATACATTTTTAGTGCAATGAATAAAATAAAATCTATTGGCGCTGACTTTCGAAATAATTGCACACAAATTTTAAATTAACAGATTTTAAAATGAATATTTTTCCTGGGGTTATGCACCGACTAATAATACACTTGATTCTGTAACTCTGCTAGAAAAATTCATACACGTGTACGAGTATGCATACATACTCGTAAATAGAAAATTCTATAGTAACCATTTCATTATTTTGCATTTATGTATTTTCATATATGTTTTCAAGTTAGTCTTTACACTATTATTTTTAAACTTAACTAAAAATCTACCGAACCAGAATAATTTACTATGAACAAAAGGAGCGAGTATGAAAATGGTAGGTGCAGTTGGTGGATTAGGAATTTAAAAACTGAAAAATTGTATCCTTGGTAGCTGAGATGTCGGGCGAACGTGCTGCACAGGTTGCCAGTGTTATGCGAATTGTAAATGAATCGATTGAGAAACTTAAGATTTCTTTGCTGATACCACGAATATTGGAGAATCCATTGACGGTTAGAAGACATTTAAAAGGAACTAAATATGAGAAATGTTGGCACGCAATACAAGCCTTCTTAATTTTAAAGGTGATTTTCGTGTTTATTTGTATATGCTTTTTATGTTCCCTCTTCCGTTCCTTAGAAAACTCATGATAAAAAATATAATACCGAAGAAAATTTGCAATTGTTACAATTGATTGATATGTTCCATGAGAACTTCGAAATGTTGGATACTTTGCCCGACTGGTTAGACGAATTGGGTGAGGAGGATAAGTCGCTTCTGAAGGCGTTTACCCTTTTACAAAACATAGCCGAAGAACGATTAAGTAAATCGGCAATGGCTGAATTGGCGAAGGAGAAAAAAATCCATCAGATTTATCATGATAACGAACAGATGAAGAAGAATATAGCGGGTAAGCTGTAGAGCGATTGATTCGTTGTTACATATAGAGATAAAAATAGATAGCCGTGAGGTGATTATAACACGAGTGTATAAATAATTAGAATTCCAGGGCAAGTTACATAATCAAAAAATTAATTTACGTTGGAAATTGGCCGCTAAGGATGGTGTAATTAAGAAATATGAGGCTGATTTGGCATATAAAAAATGGGACAACAATGTGCGTATAAGGGAAGAACTGTAAGTACATATGTATGTATCTATATATGTACATATATAGAATATTGTTTAGGTATATTTATATATTTAAATTTATAATAATTGATTGATGTAGAATAAATCACTAAACCTGAAGTTATCGGCTATCATAATATTTCAGAGTGAAGTCGAGTAGACGCATTCACAACATTCATATGGCCAGCGTTCTGAAACAAAAGGAATTGGAGGAAGAACTCGAGAAAACAAAAGCGGCCTATGAAAAAATGTTGAAGCAGAATCTCGCACATGAAAGAGAGGTTCGCGATGAGAAGTGAGTAAGCATTTTTTACACAAAAATTTAAACATCTACCTTTTTATTCAAGTGGGAAATTTCTTCAAGCACATATGTATTTCAGAATTTCCACAGTCGACAATACAAAATTCTCGTAAATATATACACACATATGTATGTACATAAAAATTAAAGCATACAGAAAGTTCAATAACTTTCTTTGCGAGAAAATTTTGAAAACAGTAGGCAATGTAAATAATATTAAATATTATACATGTGTACAAACCAATTTCAAGTTTTCTTAATCTATCGTCTTATTTATCTAATCTATAAACATATTTAATTTTTACATATTTCATGAGTTTTGTACCTAAAAATTGTGTTGAGTGTCTTTTTGAAAGCTTAACCACTGTAGTATATTGTTTTTGTTGTTACAGAATTCATCCATATTTATATTGTACCGTGCCAGCTTTTCATTCAGGTATAGATTTTTGTGAATTCTTATAAAGGAGTTTGAAGAAATTATGATAATCAAGGCAGGCAGTGTAAACGGTTCATATACATATATTTGTACGTATATATACACGGTTGAAATAAATTGTATGCATACAAAAAGAAAGGCTGATGCATGAAGAGTTCATAAAAATATAAAAATATCAAAAAAAAAATTTCAACATTTCAAAAATGAAAATAAAATTATCATAAAATTATATTTACAAACGTAGGTACATTACTTGCATACAATTTGTACATACATATTTATTATTTTTGGTTCTGCATATACATACATCGATATACCATACGTACATACATGTGTAGATGGGAAGATGTGCATCTCAATCGTTGGTCTCTTATTCTCTCTTATTTTTATAACATTATATCGCTCATCCCTTAGTCCCCCAGGAACCCAAATAGACAAAGGCTTGAACGATCTAATGAGATTTTTGTCGAAACTATTGTACAAAAGAAGTTTGAAAAGACGTATTAATATACAAAAAATGTAGTATGTTAAAAAAAAAATATTTTATGAAAGTTTTTATGCATGCTTTGTTATAACTTTTAAATGGGAAATTATACATGCTCTCCCAGGAACTTCACGTGTAAAAAAGAAATATAAGTTCATTTATACTGACATGTATACATACTGGCTAATTGTTCATGCATCCGACATTAAAGTTGTATACATACAATTTCTGCTGGGTATGCGCATACTTTAGTACAGTACACGTGTATGTAGATATGTATGTATATTTTGAGTTATCTTTTCCCACAAAGTTCTAGAGCTCTCTTCATAATTTCAAAAATAAAATACATAAGTATTTGAATTTCAGAAATAAACTCCTTCTGCAACTTCAAGCGTTAGTAAAAAAATTTGACCAGAATATTGGCGAAAAAATCAAGGAGAATGTCTACCTGCAAGAAAAATATGACGAGCAAAAGCGGCAATTCGAGGAATTCCTCATAGAGTATCAAAGGGAAGAAGCGGAATACGAGGCCATTGTTAAAACTAAAGAGGAGGAGGATCGTCGCAAGCACGAGGAGCGTGTGATGCTATTTATGATGACTCGCGCAGCGAAAATCATTCAACGGGCGTTTCGCGCATATCGTCGCAACAAGAAGAAGGTTGAAAAGAAGAAGGGTAAGAAAAGGCGCAATTGAAAGGTATTTCAGTAAAGGTGTTTGCTACCTACATAAATAATGTACACATATTTATCTATATACACAAAATATGAACTTGTGTATTCAGGTACTTCTCATGGAACCATTTTAAATCTAGGCACTCAATGAATTTTGAATATATCAATAAATATTTTTTTGTAAATTTTTTTTTGGAAAAATTGTAGTTTTCGTTCTGCATGTTTGTAAAAAACAAATAAAATAATTCTTGCAATCAGCCAAAAAAAAAAAGAAAATATTTTGTTTGATTCTCCATTCAAAAATGTCTCGTTTTTCCTTTCGCATTTTGATTGTGCAAAAAAAATAATAAATGTTCGATCGTTAGCTAAATATATTTTTTTTAATCCGAAATCCGATTTTATGTGCATTTCAAATTTGTGAACATTTTTTAATACTCCAATTAATACATACAATCATAACCGCTAACTTCAGCCAAAATACGGGGAAAGTCCCAAATCGGTGTTGATCACAACTTATTCATTTGCTGTGCTGTAACTCTTTTTTGAAAACGGGGTTTGGCAACTGTACTCCCTGTTTTTTTTTTGGTACTAAGGTAATGTATATTAAAGATGGTAATAATTTAAGATCTCGTTTACTCAAAAAAGTTAGAAAGATGTTTATCACAGCCCATAAAATTCCTAGCCGGGCCAAGAATGATGAGTGCATTGATTTAAATGCAGCGATACGGATTGTGGGAGGTCAGTGCAAAGCTATTTGGTTTTCTTCAGATAATGCAAATATTTAGTATTAGTTAATGAATTGTTTTTAATAAGCGATTTCTTAGCTGTTACTAAATAGTCTGAGGCTGGGATCAACGAAAATTTGGCAGTCCATTTACTTTATTAGGCTTCATGAAGGGCATTATAAGGAAAATCCGTAGAAGAAAAATATTATTCATGAAATATTGAGCAACAAACTTGGTCAAGTTTCATACGAGACAGTCATTACATTTATTAATATGTAAAAATTTAATCCGTAGCGGAAACATAGTATAAGCAATAATAAACCGCAACTTGCTAAGATGAAGACACATACTCGTACACAGCAGCGCAGAGTACTTTTGCATCACTACTTACTTAAAATAAACGACAAAAAGTAAGGTATTAATGTTAACAATGAGATTTATGTTATTAATGTTATTAAATTTGCCTAGATAAAAAAATGTATGATGAAAGTTGGAAATGTTTAAAGTTTACCGACTGTTATTTTAACAAAATTTAATAGCTTGCAATCAACTTTTTGTTATCTCAACTTATTTATACTAATATTTTCTCTGTTCCACAATGCAATTGTCTTTAAATTTAACAATTTAAGTTACCGAAACCACTTCGATGATTCTGAATACATATATTTACGCATTATCCCATTGTCGCATTAAAGAAAAAAGAGAAAAAAAAACAGATATTAAACCATATAAATATTAGATACATTTTCAGAGTAATACTTACAAATAGCATATATGAAGTTTGGTTTGTAACAAGATGGCAGAACAAGCATCTCTCTTTGTCTTAAGCAGGTGTAGACACCTTAGAATGTGTAGCAATGCTTGTTTTGTCGTTGTGGCATTCAAGCACTTTGTGATTGCCTGGAATTTCGGAAATGGTGGCCATTCGTTATTTTGTGAATTTGAACGAGTAAAAGGAAAATGATATAAATAGTAGCCGATGTAGGAACGAGTGGAGTCGAGTAGAGTCCGACGTGGTGAGCAGTCGTGCGGTTATTCGAGCTCGCGACTTTCACAAATTTTTGTGACAAAAAAATTATTTAAAAATCCAAAAAAAAAAAATAAAATAAATAAAAAACCAACAAAAAAAATTGCAAAAAGTAGCAAAAATCGAGCAAGTGAAAAGAACGTAAGTAATTATGAAGTTTCTGTGATGTGTATAAATATTAAAGAAAGTGAAAATCCCTTGTTGCGTGGCGATTATTGCAGTATTGGAGAAAAAAAAATGGTGGACGTAGTCGCTTGCTTATACATGAACATGAGGCTGTTTAGATGGCATGAATGACGTGCATTGAAAATTTTGAACACCAAACGCAATAGATTCAAATAGTAGCTTTTAAAAGAAAAATAATAGTTTTCGAAACTAGTTCGTTAGATATACTTCGCTACAGAATATGTAAGAATATATTTGTAATCGAAGGCTTAATAGTGGCGCACATTAAAAAAAAATGAAAAACGTGTACTGCTTAGAGTTGCCAGTATATTTGAAGTGCTATTTTAAAACAAACGTTAAACACTTGTGTACATTAATCATTATATATATTCTTTTTTACTTTCAGTTCCTTTAGTTTTCTTTTGTGTAGATTTTTCTCTAACGATATTGGAGAAGATCATATAAAAGGGTTGTAGTAAATCTCATTATTTTGGGCAGAAATGAATTCGGGTGGACCCAACTACCAAATGGCGTCGTTATACGTGGGCGATTTACATCAAGATATAAATGAGGCGGGACTTTTCGAAAAGTTCTCCACTGCTGGTCCGGTATTATCGATTCGTGTTTGTCGCGATGTTATCACAAGGCGCTCTTTGGGATACGCATATGTAAATTTCCAGCAGCCGGCAGATGGTGAGTAACAAATTTAAGAAACATGTGTAGATTGATTTGACGCGTCAAAAATTTGATGTTTGATATGTCAACTTTTAAAGTGTAAATGCGCTAAATGTTACTTTACTTTAATCTATGTAAAATTTTTTTTTTTGACTATAAGTGAAGATATTTAAGGATAAAAGTTAGCAAATATGTGTTATAAAGCTTCAATAGATCTGGTAGCATTGCAAATTTTTCACCACAGGTCGGCCATATTCAATTATCAACTATTTTCACTGGGAGGTGAAACGTGATTGTGCTGGAATATTTTACATTCCAGGCTGGCAAAGGAAACAAAAAAAAGATTTCTTTGTCACCTATGTTTCCGTTATATATATATATATATATATATTTCCACGTTTTTTTTTGTTTGTGTGGATTTCTTTTATTTACTCATTTAAACCAATGCCATGACATTAATTGAAGTAAATAATTATACATAAATATTTTTCTGCAAATTATAAATTACTTTCGTTTTCTTATATCCAATTTCTAATTTTCTTTCTGCCGAATTCCTAAAATATATAAAAATAATTGTTACGTTTTCAATTAATAAAAACATGGTAAGCGCAAAGGCGAGCTTCTATAGTTTTTAACTTTCACTCTTGCACCCAAAGCGATTTGTATCTGTATTTCTTTCATTCAATGCTCAGTGGTAACATGTGAAATGGAATATCTACATATAATTTATATTTTATAGGAAATTTCGTTGAAAGTCATTGTGTGGTAATATAACATGTATGTTGGTACTATGATTTCGCATAATAATTTTCATAGTATATTTTTAAGCTATCGTTAAGGTGCTTACGTTCGCATTCCGGTACGTGCAATACATGATAAGTACATGCATTCAGATTTATATAAGTACTCTCTTTTTTTTTTAAATATGTTTATACATTTTTCCCCTCTATTTTATATAATTGCGTATTACATAGCATTTTTGGTAATTGGTTGTCGATTTATCATTCGTGGACTATACTCAAAATGCAATATTAAAATTCGCCTTACTTACCATGCCATTTGATTGACAATTTTTTTGTAAATGGCATCATTAGTAGATGAACAAAAAACTTAACCAAGTTCACAACTCGTATTGATTTTTTTTTTTTTTGTCTTAAATTATGGTTATAAAATCTGACATGAAATTTGATATTATACTTACACTTGAAAATTGTTACACTGCACAGTTTGGCTTGAATAGATTTTTTTTATTACTAATTAAAGTTGTCAACCTTAAAATGTCATAAATGAATACTGAAAATAAAATTTAGCCTGAAATTTGAAATCAAAACTTTATTTTTCTTCTCTTTGTTTATTTCATTATACAGCCGAACGCGCTCTGGATACTATGAATTTTGATTTGATTCGCAATAAGCCAATACGCATTATGTGGTCTCAACGCGATCCTTCATTGCGTCGGTCTGGCGTTGGAAATGTTTTTATAAAGAACCTTGACAAGAGCATTGATAACAAAGCCATCTATGATACTTTTTCGGCTTTTGGTAATATATTGAGTTGCAAAGTGGCAACCGACGAAAAGGGCAATTCCAAGGGCTATGGATTTGTCCATTTTGAGACCGAAGAGGCAGCAAATACCTCAATTGAGAAGGTTAATGGTATGTTGTTAAACGCCAAGAAAGTATACGTCGGTAAATTCATCCCACGTAAAGAACGTGAGAAGGAACTGGGCGAAAAAGCCAAATTGTTCACAAATGTTTATGTGAAAAATTTTGGCGAAGACTTTGATGATGATAAATTGAAGGACCTGTTCGAACCATTTGGAAAAATAACGAGCTACAAGGTAAACTCTAGTGTATATTTCAAAATAGTTATGTATATGTGTAGCGAAAAAATAATGGATAAGTATGTAATGAATTCGTTAGTTTTCACACAGCTCATTACCCATTGGTCGTTTGGTTGTTTTGTCAAGCGATTAAGATTTACGGCTGTAAAAGGAACCTCCAGATTCTGTAATTACCATGTCGATTGCGTCTTTAATGCATTTGACAAAAGTTGATGAATCACATAAGTTCATAAAATCCGATTTTAGAGAAGCAAATTAATTAATTTGCTATAGACTCACACAGCTCATTACCCATTGGTCGCTTGGTTGTCTTGTCAAGCGATTAAGATTTACGGCTGTAAAAGGAAACTCCAGATTCTGTAATTACCATGTCGATTGCGTATTTCAAGCATTTGACAAAAGTTGATGAATCACATAAGTTCATAAAATCTGATTTTAGAGAAGTCAATTAATTAATTTGCGATAGATTCACACAGCTCATTACCCATTGGTCGTTTGGTTATTTTGTCAAGCGATTAAGATTTACGGCTGTAAAAGGAACCTCCAGATTCTGTAATTACCATGTCGATTGCGTCTTTCATGCATTTGACAAAAGTTGATGAATCACATAAGTTCATAAAATCTGATTTTAGAGAAGTAAATTAATTAATTTGCGATAGATTCACACAGCTCAATACCCATTGGTTATCTTGTCAAGTGATTAAGATTCACTGGTGTAAGAGGAACTTCCAGATTCTGAACATACCAAGTTGAATGCGCCTTCAATGCTTTTGACAAAAGCTGAAGACTTACAACTAATTGCATTGATAAATGTTTTAGATTTACGTATTTATGCTTTCTAATTCAATAGTATTTAAACAATTCTTTTTCGTCTATTTCAGGTCATGATAAAAGATGATGGCAAAAGCAAAGGCTTTGGATTTGTTGCTTATGAGACTACCGAAGCAGCTGAGGCTGCTGTCGACGCTTTGAATGGGAAGGACATGGGCGAGGGAAAAGTTTTGTATGTGGCTCGTGCCCAAAAGAAGGCTGAACGCCAACAAGAGCTCAAACGTAAATTCGAGGAATTGAAAAAGAAACGTCAAGAATCGGTGTATGGTGTTAACTTGTACGTTAAGAATTTGGATGATAGCATTGATGATGAGCGCTTACGTAAAGAGTTCTCTATGTTTGGAACTATAACTTCTGCCAAGGTAATGACCGACGAAGAAGGCCGTTCTAAAGGTTTTGGTTTTGTTTGCTTCATTTCACCAAACGAAGCTACTTGCGCTGTCACCGAACTTAACGGACGTGTAGTTGGTTCAAAACCATTGTATGTTGCTTTGGCTCAACGCAAGGAAGACCGCAAAGCACACTTAGCATCACAGTATATGCGTCACATGTCTGGTATGCGCATGCAACAATTGGGCCAGATCTTCCCGCCAAATACAGCTGGTGGTTTCTTTGTGCCGACCATGGCACCAGGACAACGTTTCTTCGGTCCGCAAGTGACTCAGCCCATTCGTAATACACCACGCTGGGCACAACAAGTGCGTCCTGCCGCGGGCGTGCAAGGAGTTACACAAGCAGGAGGAGCAGCTGCTGGTGGTGGTTTCCAAAACGCTGCCGCCGCTATGACAGCAACCGGAGCTACACAGTTCCGCCCAACAGCCGCAGCTGGTCGTGGACAACCGCAGGCAGTTCAAGGCGCTCACGCAGCCGCTGCTGCCAACACCATGCGTAATACCGGCGCACGCGCTATCACAGGCCAGCAAACAGTTGCAGGCGGAAATATTCCCATGACCGGAGCTCCAATCACTGCTGGTGGTGCTCAGCAACGTGCTGCTAACTACAAGTACACATCCAATATGCGCAATCCACCACCACAGCCCGTACAGCAACAACCGCAAGTGCAGCCAATGCACCAAAAGGGTAAGTAAAACTTCCATTTGCGAATGTGTTAAATGCCTTAAGGTTATAAATCTCTGAAATGTGTTAATAACAAATTTGTTTTTTTTGTGTTTTAATTTTAGGACAAGAAAAATTAATTGCATCTTTGCTGGCTAATGCCAAACCGCAGGAGCAAAAACAAATCTTGGGTGAACGCTTGTACCCAATGATCGAGCGCATGCATCCATTGATGGCGGGAAAAATTACCGGCATGTTGCTCGAAATCGAGAACTCAGAGTTGCTACATATGCTGGAAGATCAAGACGCATTGAAGGCTAAGGTCGAGGAAGCCGTTGCTGTACTCCAGGTCCACCGTGTTGCGGAGCCAACCAACTAAATACTTTAAATAAATTACAATACATAATAGTAATATATGAAGTTACTAAACTTTTTCGTTCATTTGCGAATTGTATAAATTTGTTGTATAAAGATGCCGTCACTAACGGATTATACTACTACAACAATACCAAATTTTCATATTTTTCACTTGAATAAAAATTTGTTTTCGTCATTTACTTGAAGTAAACTTCTTTGTGAGAAAGAAATAATTAAAGAAAATGACAAAAAAATTGCAAAAGTATATTGAAACAAAAAAATTGAAAAACATCGAGTGAAGCTAAAATTCGTTTAAATTTGAAATACCAAAAGAACCTAAATATAGCAGCTTTTTTTTTTATTATATCGAATCACTCGCTGAATGTAAGAAAACTTAAAAACAATCAGAAGATTTAGATTTGCTTGTGTATTAGAGCTCAAAGAAAAAAGTTTATCGATTTTTTGCTACTTTAAACAAACAAACTCACGAAAAAATAAGTCAGGCGTGAACGCTGACTAGCAGAATAAAAAACAATAAAAAAACAAAAAAAAATCGCAAAATTTATACAAAAACGGTCTGTACATGACCAGAAAAACATAATAAAACACAATGAATGAAATAACTGAATTAACTATATAAAAAAATTTTATCTAACAATAAGAAAGAAGTCTGTCTTGATTAGCTTCAAAAACAAATCGCTAATTTGTCAAAAAAGAAAAAAGGAGAAAAATTGAAATGTGCATGAAAATGATTAATTTCAAGATGTTAAGCGAATTAGATTTGAAGTGCGGAAGTTTTAAAGAAAAAACATAAAAAATACACAAAAAATTGTAAAAGTCAAGTAAAATCAACATAAAATATAGAAAAAATGTCATCTTTCAATATTTGTTTTGAATTGGTGAAATGAGAGAAGTAAAATAAATATCAATAAGTAGCATGGAATATCAAGTTGCGTTTAACTAAAATCACACGATTCGACCATTCATGTCTTATTTTTTGTAAAACACATATTTATGCACATACATACGTGCGGGTTAAGTCAGATAAAATACTATCATTGAAATTGCTGTTTTTATTTTGTTAATCTAATTTTATAAATTACATACAACAAAAAAACAATTATAAAGCATATAAAAATGCATATGAGAAACTTATACATCTACATACATACATATTTAGCTACATGCATATAAACATAAATAAATTTCAAAAACAAAAATTCGCCTCAATGATTAGTGCTGAAGGATTCTCTTTTATTGAACATTGCAATAGCAAATTATAAACACCATTCTCGGAAATTTGTATTACTTGTTTGAATTTAAATAAATTTATATTTTGCTCATACTTATGCATCACTTTGCTATAAATATTTGTAAAACCAAAAGATTTCCAGGCAAAGCGTCTTCAAAAACAAACCAAATTGTTTCAACGCCTAATTATTTGAAATAAATAAAAATTCCACTTCGGCGAAAAAATAGAATCTTTCATTTTTTGTACAATAAGATTTCGAGGGTCATAAGGTATAGAAAACGGGCGAGGCGAAGGAAGATTTCTTCAGAAGTACTAACTAGCATTTTGTCCTTACAAAAACAGTATTCGGAAAAATGAAATTATTGTACTGATTTGGGTTCTTTCCTGTGAAAGCATGCAAGGTGAAGCAGAAGTATGGGTAGAAGTGGCGCTGCTGCAGTCCAAGAAACAGGCTGTTTCGACGGATCCGGAGCAGAGGAAGAGGTAGGTAAGACTCGTCGGACACGAGTCGGAAGTGCGCGGGATTTTTGCACTGTACCTTTCGGTTGACAAGGAAACGATAAATTAGCCACCGTCAGTCCAAGCTGCTAAACATGGAAGTTCGCGGAGTTATTTGAAGAGTATATGCTTCCAAATGCAGCCGCCCCACAAAATAATCATGCTGCTGACGAACATTTTGTTCCAGCGTCCTCACGAAGGCCTCAATCTGTAACAACTGTAACAATACTCAAAGAGATCCTCATTACCGTCGGCGTTGAATATGTTGAAATCTTCTCCCATCTCCTGCACTTCCTCCCAACACAGCAATTACCATGTTTGCAAGCGAATTTCTCAGCTACCCGGTTCACCGACCAAGGAAGGAGTTGCGACTTGAACTGAGTGCGAAGGTCAATCACGTTGAAACTCCAACAATGAACAAGCCAAATTTTTTGGACTGCGATTTTCACCAAAGTACGAAACCGCAGCATATCTTCAATTTGTTAGCCGGCATCACCTAATGAAAAAACCGGCCAGTCATAAAGTACGCTTAACCGACAACAGAGGACCGAGAGGCTTAGTGCACTTTACTTTTCAACTGCCTACTCAATTCGACAAACAACCGATAGCTAAACAAAACTCGTATGTTCTTATGAACAGTGCCTTGCCAAATCAGCGGACAGCGGTATCGAACAACGCGCGATACCTGGCTCCATATAATCACAAGTACGTTTGTATTTATGAACTTATGTAAGTGTGTAAGTAAAGGGCTTACCAATAAGTGTGATATGATTTCTTTAAAAAAAAAAAATTGTTGAGGAAATTAGAGTGTGTTTTAATGTTGTTAAGTACAGTCGATAGTTGTGAATAAAACATCATTCAAATGGCCTCCACGACTTTTGAAATAATCGAGTCTCCAAAACTTTCTCGCAATACTTCGGTTGTTGCACGGGCTGTGTGACACGTTTGAACCAGATGTTGTTAAGATCAACTCTTCGATGATTCCACCGGACCAAAAACCACACGAAACTGTCAATTTAGGTGAAAGTAATTGTTCATGAATAATTTGTGGATTTTCTTCGCACCAGAATGGACAGTTTTTTTTTATCTTATCGCTCCACTCGGCTGATGATTTTCTTATAAAAATCGTTATGGTTTTTAAGTTGTTATATTTTTGCGTTGCGTATATTTTTACATGAAGCTTTACTGAATACAATGCTAAAAATTTCGGCCTTATGCTGCATATCGTTGTTGTTGTTGTTGTTGTTGTTGTTGTTGTTGTAACCGCAAAATTATTCCCCAAAGTACTTTTTGGGGAATGTTGCGGGAGTGACAGTCCTTGGCCGGATAAAAATCCGGGTCGTTCCGGTATAAAGACCCGACTGTCGCGAGAACTATTGGATTTTAGTCGCCTCTTACGACAGGAATGCCTTACCGCGGGTAAATTCTTGAGCCCCTAACCCGCTGCATATCGTCTACGTCTTCGCTGACGATCGTAAATGTTCTTCATCATTACTTTAATCGCTTCGTGTTTGTTTAGGTATTCTGCACAAGCAATGTAGATAAAACCACAAGCTGTGAGGTTGGCTTAAATAAATGAAAGCGGTTTATAATTAAAAAAAAAAATGCAATAAGAGTTGTTCTTTTCAAGATCCAGCGATGAAGAAGAGAATAAAAATTTAAATGTTTCGCGTAGATTGTGGATATTGCTTTCGAATTTGTGAATTTTTAAATCTGTTAGCGTTTTGTTGGTGCTAAAGTCGGGCTGCGGTTATTGTTATCATCATTAACACCAAATATAGCACCAGCTAGATTTAACAACTCATTTAATCCCATTAAATTTGCAACAGATTCTTCAAGAGGAGTCAATACCATTTACTTGTAACCCCTCGGCCGGTCGCTCTTGACTCTTTCTTTCAGTAAAATGACTGACGATAAGAGATGATAAGAATCGACAGAAAACGTTGGCGATAACGCTGACGAGCATACCGCAACAGCGTCGTCTGACGATACTGTTGACGATGGCATTGAACGGCATACCAAAGTTACAGTATCGTCATTTTCACTGACGATCACGAATATGCCATAAGGCCGGTTAAAAATGGCCAAAACGACACTTGGAAATCATGTCATCTCTATTGGAAAACCGTTAAGTTACATCATGTACCCAGCAGCAAAAAATAAGGTCATGAAAGCGATGAGATAAAGTGAAATCCATGTCTTCGATCACTGAAATGGTCGCTGAAAATGAACACGATGTTGCCTTAGAAAATAATGTAAGGCTTCTTCTTTCTTTCCAATTGTCATTTCGGGTAAGCGATGTTTTCAGGCACCAATTTTTTCATATACATACATTTGCTATGTCATCGCCATGCGAATTTTCATCGATGAATTTAGGGATCAAAGATACAGTTACCAGATACAGATACCATTAAAACTTATTTTATTTACTCTTTAAAAATTAATATGAATATAAATATAAATTTAATATATATATATGTACATATATTGTATTTTTTCGTAATCTGAAGAAACTTATCGAAAGTTTTTCTTGATATAGTGCTCTCCATTCGCCATTGTAATAAATTTTTGACTAAACTTTCACTACTATTTTTCGAACTTTGCATAAAAATGCTCCGATTTTCACCGATTTTCCAAAAATTTGCTAAGAATGGTTTATATTCATTTGAAATATTTTACATCTCTGCCTTACTAAGCAGCGTTTCGTATCACTTTAAATATTTCATTAACGACACGGTTTATGAATTTTTTTCTAATTATTCAATTGCAAATTTCAAATTCATTTAATTTACCCCGCCTCGCTGTTGGGCCGTTACCGACCAAAAGAATACTAAAACGCAACAATTTACAGAGTAAAAGCATGGTCTTGTATTCCATTTAAATATTGCGTAAATTCTTTGGTTTCGACATGTCATGCTGGGAAAAATTCATCGAAAATGAAAGCGATGCTAGCCGCGACCGAATTTGCTACTGGGATGTTGTGGTGTTTTCACGCTATCATGAGTCTTTTGAGTCTGAGCCATCACGCCATGCCATACAGCCGCCAGCCATTCCGTCATTTTGCCATTCAGCAGTTGACTGGTTTTCTGCATTAAAATAATAGATTCAAAAAACCTGAGCACACGAACTTCGCATAATAAATTATTGGTGTTGTTGTTGGTGTTGCTGAAGTAGAAGCTGCGTGGCTCTGGCGTGTGGACTCATCCAACGTTTATTTGTTTGCAACATTTTCAACAATACAAACCTACATGCGAGTACATATATACATATATATGTATCATATATTTGAATGCGTTGTTGATACTGTTGTTGTTGCTGTAGACTGTAGCTAAGTACTCGTATAGCTGTTGTTTTGCATTGAGTGCAAAATGTTGTTTATTTATTTATTCTTTTATTTATTTATTCATAAATTTAAACTTGTATATGTGTATATATGTACAATACTTACACAGACTCTGGTTACCGTCTCCATGCATTTTCGTATTGCAATGAATGGATGTATGCGGATAGAAGCATCTAATCGAGAAAGGATGGGACGTATGCCTACTTTACGTCTGTTTAGACTACTTCCATAAAACCAAGGATAAATAGTCGAATACTGACTTTGAAAGTTTAGTTATCAGAAAAGCATAGTTTTAAATGGACACCGGAGGGCTAATGAATTTTTCGAAGGTTCATATACCAATGGCTGAAATACAAATTATTTGACTATTTTTTCTCTGATGTTGTTCTGGACTAGATTCAGGCCAGGAGACCCATAACGTACTCTTCTAAATTAATGTCTGCAAAAGCCGAGTTCGATTACTTAAATTGAAAATGATTTTTTGTATAGAATCGTCAAAACAACCAGTTTAAACAAAAATCGTATTTCACTCACAGTCTTCCTCGTGGTTATGTTTCAAAACGAAAAAAAAAACGAAACCTGCAAAATGAGGGTCTAATATAGACGATGAGGCGTCCATGGC